GCAGTCTCTGCATCTGTGGCAAACGTTTCGGGCATTTTGACGGTGGTGTTTTCATCCTCGTCTTGATAAAGAATTTTGGCGAGTTGCTTTAAAGCCCATTCGTATTGTTCTTGCTTTTCATTAGTTAGAAAGCACATGGCCACCGTAAATGAACGATGAGTGTTTGTCGTGCCGACAATATGTAAGAGTGGTAGATTAAAGCGGTTGGTTTTATAAGTGCAATCCATACTTAAGACGGTTGAGAATCTTCGAGCCAATTGGATGCCGGAGGGACTAGCGAAAAATAGGTTTAGAAGTGTACCATTGGGTGATGTTAATGTGCGATGGGCCCAATGACTGGACACGATGAGATCGAATAAGCCCTGAATCAGCGTTCGACCGTTGAGCCAATTGTCCCTCAAGCAGGTCCAAACATTGTGTATGTTGCGCAACAACGGTTGAGAACCCGGTTCAACATTGATGAGGGATCTTATGTGAGCTGCGCGAACACCTGCTGAAGAAAGGAGATCAATTTGTTGATTGGCCGTTGGATTGAATCTTTGGTAAATGGACATGTTGTGAGGATTATCGAATGGTTCATGGTTGTGCGTCTGTTTGTCGGATTTCTTCACGTCTTGACATACAACCCAGCGATCTACATTGGTTCAATAATTGAGAGACACTTTGAAAGGACACCCAGTCTTTTTGGAAGACGACGAGCGCTTTTGAGCGACGGAAGGTACTTTGTTGCCCAGGGAGCATCATAGATAAACTCAAATAGTGTGTTCTCTAAGTTTCTTATGACTTTTGATGGCCACAGCGTAACCTTGGTGTCAAGCAACTGCGTTGATGTACATCACACCGTTCTCCCTTTCAATGAACTGTTTACCTATTTTGGGTCCGGTGAGTGAGCAAACAGGAGTTGCACCTGTTGAATAGAACATATACAAACATAACATTAGCTTGTAAGGAAGTGAAAAAAAAGGTGCGAAGTGAACACAAAACAGTGATCTTCTCAAACATACCGAGGGGAGGCCAGTCAATGTCTCTTTCATCGAGGGCTGCTTCATCTACATCTACATCGGCCACATCAACATTGTTTAAGGCCAATGGAGGTGTTTGCACGTTGTGAGTTGTTTCCAAATGGTTTGATTGGTTTGATGTTGAAGAGGATGTACTAGTCTGATTCAAAGTTAGAGCTCCGGGAGTTGCGGCATCAATGCTAGCACTAGCAGTCCCTTCATTTTGAGTAGATAAAGCCGAGTGAGTTGTGACAGGTAAGTGCGGGTTCATAGGCGGATGGTGAGAAAGAGATTGAGATTGAGATTGAGTAATTGGTGGTTTCCATGGTAGATTTTCGATAGGAGGGTGATGGTAATGATGATGAGGGGTTCCGTAGTTTGGTAGACACATTGAACCTCCAGGAGCGGTTTGATGATACGAGGCTTGGTGAGAGTACGAGTGTTGAGCTTGAGCAGTAGGTCGAGAGTGTGGAGTGTACGAGCTTTCTTGACCTTGAGCGTAGAAGCCAGGAGCTTGAGAATACGAGCCAGTAAGAGGAGGAGCTTGAGAGTATGAGACGTTCGGCGGAGCTTGAGAATACGAGCCAGGAAAAGGAGGTGCTTGAGAGTAAAAGTGCGAGTGAGGTGAAGGACCTTGAGAATACAAAAGAAAAGAAGAAATCGGGGGAGGGTGAGAATACAAAGAAGGTGGAGGAGGTTGACAGTACAAATTAGTTGGTGGTGGTGGTGCACCTGATATATCTTGCCTAGCGGAGGGAGGGTATGGTAATTGCGGGGTAGGAAAGCAAGTGTCAAGATGTGATGGTATGATTCCGCTCGGAGTTGGACTTGGATGTGGATGGATCATGTGGTTTGTTTGAATCAAATGAGAATTTGGATGTGCATGTACATGTACAGCTTTGAATGTCACCGGCTGTTGTGGGGGAACGGGGTTTGGGTGGTCCATACTGTACACTATATCAAGTGTTAAAGTTGGAAAGATTGTGCGTTCAAGTGAATGGAATCTGTGTTGAGAGTGAGATGGTTTGAACAGGTATGTATGAACTGAGTTATTACAGGGTTCGGTGGTTTAAAGTTGGGATTAAGTGATAGAAGTAAGAAAATCAAGGAAATTGAGGAAGGGAAGAAAATTGGACAAGGAAAGTATTGTGAGGGAGAGCGGAGGAACTTCTATATGAAGGGTATGGCCGAAGGGCCAGTGATGTCCGACATGCAGGGGCCGGTCCGGGCGCCAAGCAATTTGGGAGCCCTTGCAGTTGTTGTCTTCATATTTCGAGCCCCATCAATGGTGAAGGGGCTCGAAAGAAGTTAATTGACGTTCCAAAAGGGGCTCATTCGTGTTTTGGTGCCCGGTTAGGGAGCCCTTGATAAGCCCTTGAGGTCCGATCATGCATTATATAGGCTGAAAATGACGGGGTGCCTTTGAGTTACGCGGGTTTTGGTAGAAACCCGGGGGCCTCCGGATATCAGCCAAGGGGGCTCTAAATAGTGGGATCCTATTCTTTTCAATAATTCCTCACCTCTCTCTCATCTGTCTTATTTACCACCATGCCCTGTGAATAACCGGCCTGTCACATTTCTAATTTCACTGTCTCATCTCTCTTAAATGCTTTTCTTATTGATAATGACCATTTTTTGTGGAATTCTAACTTCTCCTTTCTTTTTGATCATTTTCTTTGCAGATAACATAATTAGATATAACTTGATTGGTTTCACAAATGTCAGTATCAACATCATCTTATAACTATTTCACTCATCTCTTCATCTGTTTATCAATTCAATTATCTTTTTGAACTTTCCTCGTATCCTATATTTCTTACAAGTATATAGGCTTTCCTCTTTTTGGATTTTTTAAAACATTCTTCCAATGTTTATCATGCAATTACTCTTAATCGGGACACACTCCGGAATATTAAATAATCCATCATCTCTTTACAGCTCCCTCATGAGATTCATAACCGGTATTATATTATTGTACGTTCATCTATGTCTTCAATCTCTTCGGAACTCAATCCACGATCTGAAAACAATTTAACATCATATACAGCACCCACTTCCAAAAATCAATTGGATTTCCATTCCTTATAAGAATCTACATATGTAAATATCATCTTGATTATTTATTATCAAATTTTATGTTCAAAAATTAAATTTATATTTATGATGATTTGTTCACACAATCAGATTTTCTTTCCTGTTCTTTTTTCGGTTTTCTATATACCCGAATGAAGTTAACACTTTTGATCATATGAAATTATTAGTCTTTTTATTAAAGCAACCACACTGACACATCTTCTTTGAATATTCAGTGCCCTATTTGGTTTCAAACCGGAATTCTTTCATCAATTATATCAATATAAACTCAAATATATCTTGATTTCACTTATTTAATTATTCCTCAATTATTATGCAGCTCCCTTATTGATCTTTAATTGGAATTAATCAAAAATTTTCTAGAGGTATTCTTATTAAGAACTTTATATAGTAGAAAATTTAAATTTGTATAAGACCTATAAAGAAAGGAATTGAAATTGATGAAGTTTACTCTCACTCAAAGTTATCTTCTTCAGTTCAATTTCCGTTATTTCCATCTTCATTTCTTCTATTACCCTGCCCATTTGTTCTTTGATATATGTTGCTTTGGTCTACTCTAAATTGATTTTGAACCTATACATCTGCACTTTATACTTACTACACTAGCGCATTGTTCTTAGACCTTACTATTCCTTATATTCAAGTTTATATCTGAGTTTTCTAATGTCTGACAATTATTTGATTCTTTTATTAATCAATTTGAATATCTTTGAAGCGCCTTTTGGCAGAAAAAAAAATTGTATGCATGCAGTTTTGCTGAGTTTTTGGCTTAGCTTGCTGAGCAACTTGGTTTAGCGGTTTATGAAAAGCGTTGGGGAAACTCTACTGAAGTTCTAAAACCAATCTTATTGGAGGGTGACTCGGTACTCGGGCCAAACAAGCTTTTCGGGTCATCGGAAGTCGTTGTGCGTTTGGACCTCCGAGGCATTGATACATCACCTTGCATCACACTTTGTGAGCATCACATTGTTGCTTATTGTACAAAATGTACATGCATGCATGATGGCATCTCTCAGGACCCCGGAAAGCTCCTGGAGAACAAACCGTCCTCGATCCATTCCGGCCCCGGCCCTCACACTTTCACTATTTGCCCCGAGGAGAGGTGGGTTAACATGGATTTCTCGGTGGTAGGAGAAGCGCCTTGATCAGGGCTCTCGATTACATATACTTTCAGTTTTGTACCACGTGTAATCACCGAGATATCCGTATGTAAGTACCCGACCCGAGCCGGTATGGATTTTCGTCGGTCTGGGGGGGCAAAAGTTACAAATCACACATTTCCCAAGCCACCAGTCATGTTCAGGGTCAGACATGTGTACCATCTGATAGCCCTCGTTGAGGCGCATCTTTTGCACCTGTCACATCTCTGGTACCATGTGACATGACTTCACAAAACACCGGTATCCGAAAACCCCCTCAGGACGGTTTGTTCTCCAGGAGCTTTCCAGGGTCCTCATCTCTCTGATTTCACCTGCGGATACATACTTACGTGAAATACAATTTTGAAGATACTACAATACATAGAAGAAGGAATCGATTTGATTTATCAAGGAAATTGGGGTTGGAAATCGAAAACGAAGCGAAGTCCAAACAACTTTAAGAATTCAAAACGTAATGAGATGGAAAACAGAGAAGATTAATGAATCGGTTTGAGTGAAAGTATGGTAGAATCAGATTGAGACTGAATTGAAAATCGATCGATCAAGCAAGAGTTTGTAAAGTGACGATTTAGAAATCTGATTTAGAATTCAATTTGATCGATTGATTGATTGGATCGATAGGATTTCAAGTGATTTAGTTTACCCAACAGAATTTAGAAAGTTATCAAACCACTCTGACTCTACACAACTTAAATTCGATTCGACTTACAATTTAAAACAATTCTTTAAACTCTTCAATCTGATAGAAAAATTAAAATCTCTACAAAAGAAAAAAAAAAAAAGAAGATTACACTATTTAATTGAATGAATCGAGTGAAGTGAAGTGAAGTGAAAAAGTTTGTAAATGTGATTTGGATTGGATAGGGGATTAAATAAGGAAAGGAAAAGATGATTAAAGACAATTCAAAGCAATTCATCGATCAAGGTTTCAATATCAAATCGGAATCACAACCGAACCAAGAGGAAAATACTTACCAGATTACTAATCATCATCATCATCATCACTTCAACACCTCATCCTCAACTTCAACTTCAGCATCGAAATCTAATACTAATGCTAACAAAAAACATCCTAGATCGATCTCACCTCGATTTCATTCAACTTTAAATGATTCATTTTTAGATCAAACTTCTCAGCTTAATTCTCAAAACTTCGAAAGCGTTCTAAATCAGAATCGATCGACATCGACATCATCAAAACATCTTCATCATCAACTCAAACTTAATCCAACCGAATCTCAATATAATCTCGATACTAGAGCTGAAAAATTAAAGAACGTCATCGAAAGACAACATCATCAAATTCAAATCATTCAAAACCAAATCAGTTTACTCGATCAATTCTCTCCTACCTCGGCTTACTCAATCTATCAAAACTCTCATCAACCTACCAGATTCAATCAATCATCATCTCAGCATTCAAATCATCTCATGCACTCAAATCAATTCTCAACTTCAACTTCAATTCATAATCTCAATTCTCATCATCATCATCATCACAGTACTATCACACCTAAACCACGACCATCATTACCTGCTCGAGTCTTGGTAGGGTACCCTCTCAGGGGACCTTCACCTGGTCATGACCCTACCATCCCAAAAGCGATTGCTCCAGTCGGGTTGAATCCGACAATGGAAGAAATCATCAACTGTCCTCAAAGAGGTCAACAGGCTCATTCGATTTCATTCCTTTTGAATCCGTCTATGAATCCAGCAAAAGAAACGATTCGTGATTCAACTCCACCTCCTTCATCTTATAGCAATCTAAGTCCTTTAAATTCACATCAATCAAATCAGAATAGTCATCCCGATCAAAACCATCATAGGCGTCCATCTGATCAACCTACTTTGAATTCAGAAAGATCACAACAGGTTAATGAGAATTCAACAGCTCAAGGTAAGACTGAGATACTCTATTAGCGGTTCATATCTTGTTTGTTTTTGTTTTCACCAAAATGACCAATTTGAAAAATGATCATCTTTTGTTAAATTCAGTACCACCACCTACACTGTACAGAAGAACAGTTCCGATTCCTGGGAGTGGTTATCGAAATCTGAATGGGCGATCACCCAATGAACCTTTAGAATTAAGAGCTAATGATTTGATTGGAACTGGAAGAGTTACTTGTTATCATGCTCAAGCTTATTGGGATTTATTTTTTCAAAAACATTCTAATCGACTCACTTGGTGTCAATCAGTTTGTCATTTCTTTTTCCACAAGTTTTTTTTTTCTTTTTTGAAAACTTTCAAAGAGGTTTGAAAACTTGATGCTTTTGTGCCTTTTTTTTTCGTGTCCTTTTCTTTTTAAAAGGATCGAGAAGAGATTGATAGTATTAGATCTGTATCGGATTTATTGTTGGCTTCTGTACTGAGTGTGTCGGCTAAAGTGTTGGGTCATAATGCGATTTTCGAAACTTGTTTAGATGAAGCGAAAACATTGACGAGATGTACGATGTTCCCTACCAGGTATGTGATTTTGAGTTTAGAACATTCGAATTCTTTTTGATTGTGATCTTCATTCTTTGTTAAAAAACAAAAAAATAGAAATCATAATCATCAAGATGTGAAAGGGATCATGACCCTAGCTATCTATCATGGTAAGCCATCTTCCTTTTGAAATGAGTTATGATGCATAAATCGTGATGATGGTTGATTTTTTTATGTTTGGTTACGTAGGTATTCATAGTATCTGTGCTCATTTTGTGACACTTTCTTTAACATTGAATTTACATAAAGTCTTTGTTAAATTAACTGATCCTAGTCTAAGAGGGTTTGTTCAATCTTTCATATCTCACCCTAGATCTTTTGATGTTGAGTTTTGGATGTTGACTTTGATCTTTTCATTATACTAGGAATACCAAAGAAATCGAATTGGTAGAGAAAGGTAGACTTTGGCTTTTGGTTGTGATTTATAGTCATTTGTAAGTTGATGATGATCAGTTTTTTCGTTGGGAAAGAAAATTTATGATTGAAGTTTAACATGAATTTTGTTTGAATGATATGAAATAGGTTTTGTATTTTTAGTAATAAGATGTATTTGATTTGTTCACCTAGAAGAGTTATTACGGATCATGCGAAACTTTTGAGATCGTCAAAATGGTCAAACGATTCAGATAAATTGATTCAAGCGTTTGTGATTTTTTTCTTAGTTGATTATCAAAAACCCATGAACGAATGTCGATCTAAGATCTTTGGTTTCTCCTTTTTGTCTTTGGATAAATTTTTAGACATGTTGAACTAGTCTTAGTACTTGCACATGTACAGGATAAATTAGATAGCAGACGATATCCAGGTCCGTTACATGAACGTCGAGCTAAATATGTGGCACCTGAAGTTTTTGGTTTAGTGAAGGAATTGGATGATTGGCTTACACATTGGAGAGAAGAAACACCTGAATTGTTTTTCGGTCTTAGAAGTCCACATCAGTATGTTTATCTTTATATAATGGTATGTGAAGTTTTTTTTTTGAAATCCCAACTTTCAACAAACTGTTTTTTGCTTCTTATCATTCAAATTGATAAACTTGATTCTTTTTGGTGGTGGTGATTGAACTTGGAATGGAAAACAATTGGCTGCGAATGATAGCATGCAGGAGTTTGGCCTTGTCAAGATGGAAAAGTGATTGTGATGGATACTTCAAGATTACATTGGGCAAGAGAAGGATGTAGGTATGCAGAAGCGATCTTATCGACTACTATTAGTGGTAGATTAGATCCGCATCTTAAAATGAAAGGTGAGAGTGGAAAAGAAATGCAAGAGTTGGGAATCAATGTTGAGTATCATAAAGTGACGTGAGTATTGAGAGTTGATTGTTTTGGAAAGATTTGATGCTTGAATCTGATGAAAACTGATGTCTATCTTTTGGAATTGGAATTGATTTTTTTAGATTAGGATTAGCTACAGGATTTATACTTTGGATTTCACAATTAATACCAGGTTATATAAATTTACAATCTAATCGAAATTTGATTGGTAGATTACATTCGATTGATTTTAATAAGAATTGTGAATATTTAGATTTGATTGAATCATCAATTGAAAGGATTGATAAAGATTTAAAAGATCATGAAAAGATGATTGGAGTGATTGAGGATCCGATGAATGATGAATTGGATAGATTGATGAATGATACTAGGTTTTGGTTTATGATTGATTTGGATCGTGAGTATTTTGGATGAAGGTTTGAAAAAATCAAAGTAAAAAAGTTGGATTTGGATCTTTGGTGATGAAAAAGGATTTGGGTTTGGAATTATTTATTGGGTCATGATTTATTGATTTATTGAAGGTAAATTATTTTGATTCTTTCGAGGAGCGATCTTTCTTGTGGGGATTTCTTGGTTTTTTCTTGGGGATCTTGTAAAATAGGATACACAAAACAACAGAAAAAAAAATCGTTCATACATATTGATCAAACGGTTGAAGATTTTTGTTACTTCATTTCATTATATATATCTTTAATTTATTTAATCTTTCAAAAGAGAATTGGAATTTGTTTAGTTGAACTCGTTTTTTTTTTCTTGATTTATTCGATTTCTTGTAACAAAATCAAAGGGTTAGAATTTATTTTATTTTAATTGAATTGGATTGATTTATATTTGTAAAGAGTATGAGAAAAAGGATTTGGTTGGTACTGGATGGAATTGGTTGAAGAGAAAGAGTTTTGGGAAACTGAAGCTTGAGATGATGGATTTGTTTGGTTTGTTTAACAAAACAGATTGTTTGAGAAGGATTTTTTGGAAGGTTTACCTACTTGGATTACACTTGATTCAAGAGGTCTAATTGGAGAACACCTTCAATTGATGTGCCTTTCATGTTGATGTGCTTGGAAGATATGTCTTTAATTGTTCATTATGAACTTTGATCACTTGATCAATAGTGGTACTCATTGGTCAAAATACGCCCAGCTAAAGATCTATACTTATACATTGACACGAGGTGCGATCCACAGACAAATTCCAAGCTTGTCCATTTTGAATCATTGCCTTAAAATCGGAGGTGCCTAAACTCCTTCTTACAAATCCACAGGTCCTATTGAAAAATTCAAACATCACTGAGGAGTTAACTTTTATAAGTGTCGGCGGAACGTAAGTAGCCATTATCGTGTTGGACTTAATGGTATATCACCTAGCACGTCACGTGAATCCCTGAATGTTCTGGGAACGATAGGGGGCCACGGAAATCAAGGACAGGAAAGGGGTTGGGAGCAAGTGGTCGTCTCATCAAGTTCACTCTCAAGTCGCCAATTGTAATGATTACGCTCTTTTGAAGATGAGCTGGAAAGCGATGAGTAGGGCAGCGTTGCCCGGCTTAAATATTCGATGGGAAGAAAAGCTTTGTGGCCAGGGATGAAATCATGGTCATCCTGCTGGAAATTCTAGCAAGATCAAGAGTGGGATTTCGTTATCTTCAAAATGCTTAATACAATATAAAAGTTATAATACATTATGATCATAAAAAAACAAAGAAAGAAAAGATTTGAATATGAGCTCCGTAACTAAGAAGTTCGCACCAACGCCAAATCCCATGACAGAACTAAGCATTTCCGATTCAAATCGGTACTCGAGCTTCAACTCAAGGAGCTATTCATTTAATCTTCCACACCTGTAACGGTCAGTCCGCAATATGGCTATCAATTCCAAAAGTTTTTTTTGGTCAAATCAAATTTAATTGAGGTTTGACCCTTTCAGCAAGCGTGCGGAGCAACCTGACTGGCGTGGAGTTTCTTACTCGGAGAAAAAGAGAGAAAGGGATGATGAGGAAAGGGAATGATGAAGGAGATAAGGAATCGGGATCGGGATCGGAAAGTATGCCGAGAGGAGGAATGGTGGGACGAGGGTGAGATTTGATGATCGATTAACTCATTGACGATCGTCTGGCCTGAATTGCAAAGGAGGTGAAGAGTGATGATGGCGTTGGGAAGAGCGAACGGTATCGAGCCGCCGAAGCTTTTATAGGTCACCTTCCAAAAAAACCGTGGTGGCCTGACAGCCCGTTTGGCCAGCCTGTGGGTGCGTGAGATACATTAGGTTAGGTCTTTGGACGGCCAACTTGCGTGTGCTCGGGGCTCGCGGCGTAAGGAAAATTGCAATTGAACCATCCCCCAAAAGCCCTGTTGAGCGGGCAGAGTCTGAGTCCGCTGCACTGGACAGAATGATTTTGTTAATCCATTCATCTTTCTTTCCCCTTTGATGTGCTATGCTTCATTATGCCTCCTTGTCCAGATCACCATCCATAGAAAAAGAGTCTGATGTATTGAACTGAATCCTAGAACCAATTTATTTGTTCTGCCCATGGCCTACAAAAAATGCCTTCCTTCAGATGACAATGATTTTTGAATGCATCATCATGAGTATTGTCATAACAATAATAGTTCTCTAAATGAATCATCAGGACCTTATCTACCGGTTCATCTTGTCATTAAGATCTTCCCTGGTTGTGTGAATTTGTGAAAAAAGAAAAGAAAACTATGCACAGCAAAGTATACACAACTTTGAGTACTGTAAATATCAATTTTAAAAAGTCAAAACAATAGCGGTGTACAAACCTACGACCCATCACAAAAACCCATGTCAAAAACCCATAAAAACCCAACTTTTTTTTGGGTTTTTTTCGACAGGTTTTTTCACATGGGTTGAAATTGGTAGATCTGACCACCCATCAAAGAAAAACAGATAGTTGAGTTCAAGATGGACTCAACTACCCCTTCCATGTCAACGCCACACGTCCAAAGTGTCCACAACCTTCCAGACAACAGTCCCACGTCCACACCAACTCCGCCTCTGTCAAGCTCTGTTCAAAACCCTTCCATTTCGATCGGCACCAACACGGCAGATTCTCACGGTAGTCTAACTTCAACTGCCTTTGTAATACCAACCCTTTCCCCAGCGGATTGGGCACATCTTCAGCAAGTTGTCACCTTGTCCAAACCATCAGCCAGCCAGACTACAACCTCCAATCCTATCATGGCTACTCCTGACCCCCCTAAGAAGCCACGAGGACGACCTCGAAAAACACCAGCACCACCTTCTCAAAAGCCTATTCCAAAACCCAAAGCCAAGCAAGTGTCCCCACCTAAGTCCGAGAATCAAAGTGAAACTACACCAGACTCTCAATCCAATACTCAAAATGATCATAACGGAGACACCAAGCCGAGAAAATGTTGGTTCACCCCTGAAGAAAGTGACGGTAAATCAGACATAGATTTAATTGCTGAATGGTGCAGCGTGTTTGAGAACTACAACGCTTGGCGAACACAACAGAAGAGTGTGGTTCGTGAACGAGTTGCTGCTTACCTTGTTTCCAAGGGGCATGCAGACAGAGGAGGTAGAGAGTGTGAAAAGAAAGTAAGTGTGCGGGATTCAAGTCACTGGATCATCATTTGTCTTACCTTTTCATCTCGATATGTAGATTGGGGCCCTTGTAGCGTGGTTCCACCACGCTGATGATCTCCGAAAAGCGACTGGAGAAGGCAATCACGAAGCAGATATCGAGTTCACTGTTTCAAAGGAGGAGCTTGCTGTGTTCAAGTGGAATAAGAGGAGGGTTAAGAAAGGTGAAGAAGAAGGCGGAAGTCTTGATGGTACGTGTGTCTATCTGGGTCTTTGCTTATTTCATACTGAAAGACTATGTTTCTGAAATAGTCAGATCCTACGTCGATGTCCCTGGTACAAGGAGCTGGAGCCCATACTTTGAGATCGCCCTTCTGCCAGCCCTCTGGCTTCTAGAGATTCGCTAGGGGACCAGGAACAGCGATCAACTTCGATTTTAAATCAAGATGAGCCATTTTACAGTCCCACCGGGAGCAGTGTGTCCCCCACGTGGGAAGATACACCACCACGTCTTCAAATTGAAGACGATCTGCCATCTTCGCAAGAACTAGCCCGACCGAGCCTTCAAGGCACTCAAACCAAACAGTCTCGGCCAAACACTCCTTGTAATCCGTCTAGCAAGCGTCTCCGAAGCAACCCGAGGGATATCCCTTTCTCTACCAACACAAAAGAGTCCCCTCAAATGTCTACAGATGTTTTTTCAATGCTGAATCGTCTCCCCACGAAAGAAGATCGAGAAGAAATGGAAAACCGTGCTAATCAATCCCAAGAACGAATGACGTCCCAGTTCACCAAAGAAATGTTGAAGATGATGACCACCAACCGAGCTGCGGAATTGGCCTCAAAGGAAAACATTGCAATCTCAAAGATGAATGTAGAGCTAAGAATCGCTCGTAGCAAGATGGTAGTGGATCTTATCCGTGGGAACATGGACCCCGTCGAGGCGGAGGCCCTTGCTTTGCGATCGTTACCAGATGTTCAGGCTTCTCATAGCTCAAATCAATTGTCTGAGACTAATTCCTCTTCAACGGCATCTCAAATGCACACGTCTGAAATTGCTTAAATATAAAATTAAGTGTGAAATCGAAGAAGTGATTTTATGATTCACCTTCATCTGTAGTGCTTTTGTTCTTTTGTTTTCTGAATAGTCTTGATTGAAAAAAACCAAAACGTATTGGAATGATGAAGATCATTCTATTGGCTCTCTACCTGATGTATGATGTAGTCCAAGTTTCTCTCTCTTAAATTTGAAATATATCGAGTCTGAAAGAGGTTCAGTAATTTCGCAACTTTTGATTTCAAAAAAAAACTAGAAATCTTCGATTTAAAACAAAAACGTGTCTAAGTTAACTTGTAAAACTGAGAGATGAGAGTTGAAAAGTGAGGAAAAACTTCAAAAGATGTTGTCTTATCTCACACAAAAAACTTCAAGAATAACCTTTATCTATACAAAAAGCACGGAACAAACAATCACGATGCGACACTCCCAAAGAGTCTAAATACGCCAACCTGCGAGCTTGACTGACAGTGTTGTCTACAGCTTCCAAGTTGGTGTTCATACGAAGTCCTACCATTGCTGACCCATCCACAATGAGGAAGTTGTGAATGACCACGCATGCAGAAATCCAATCACATACATACTTTGCTTCTTTTGAGTTGCCGATCGATAGTCGCAACTCGTGAAGGGATCCAAATCTCATCTGTAACATGCCATTGCAATGTTCTGAGGCAATTCGAATTTTGGAAAGTGACCTGTTGAAGTGAGTTTGAGCAGGTGAAAGCGGGCCAGATTGTGTTCGTTTATAAACCGGTACAATATGCTCCACTGATGCATAGCCAGAGTCTGCTACAATATACTCTCCTTTGGAAAAAAAGATGAGATATCCTTATAGAACTAAAACATCTATAGTCAGTTCGGATGACGATAGGATAAAGCTCCTGAAGAAAATGACATACACGAGTTGACTTCAAAACTCGTTGATTGTGTGCACTTCCACACCAACCATGATGAGCGTACATTATTTTTCGACGGTCATCACATATTATAAGTGAGTTCAAAGCGTAGATGGACTTTTGAGTGTAGTAATCTTCCTTGTTTTTCGAGGGAGCGTATGCTAATGGTACTAATGTTCCATCAATAAAACCAATGCAATCTTGGAACCAAGATGATTGACCAATGCGTTGTTTAATTTCAGCTCGCTCATCTGCATCTGGCCATCTTACAAATTCTTCCTCAAGCTCCAAGATCGCATAGATACAGTGTTTAGTATAATTCTCTACGCTGCCCTCTTTCAAAAATCAAAATACCAACGTCAGTTCCAAAATGAACCAGGAAATTAGTACAGAAGATTTCGGACAAACCTGACAAGTCAAATGACTTTGCCTTCATACTACAGGATCCGCCATTTCCATATAACCCTAAATTAGCCAAAGCAACCAGCAGCTGCCACTGGACCGGTGCCTGATTACAAGACGAGTTATTGTGAAAGATAGGACACCATCCGATTCGGTGGAGAAGTTTTGTAAAGGCGTCCTTTGACATGCGTGCCTAAGTTGGAAAAGGAAGACAATCAACTATAGAATTCGCAGAAGGTTGTATATACTTGGAAACTTGAGCTTACGGCCATGAACCAAGTACGATCAGACTCATCGAACCAAGCTTGGAACGTTCGAGCCTTCTGACTACAACGAGGTCGGCGATGTCTGGGCAGTGGGTAGCGTCTTCTTTTGGCTTCTTCGCGTACCATCAATAGAACATCTAAAATCGATCCATCGTCTTCCAATCGTCTCTTCTGCCGTTGGATGTAGTCACGGTGGTTCATGGATAATATCATCATGACAGTGTAAGCAAAGATGATGAGTTGTTCTTCGTATCCGATATTGTCGTCTGAATCATCGTCATTGGTATCTTCATCGTCATCGTTGTGGTTGGTTTTCATGAAGGACACCATCGTCAAACAAGCAATTAAATTTGGAAGGAAACTTAGGTAGTGGGCGGAGTCAGGGTTGTGGTGGATGCAAGAAGAGAGACGTGTAGTAGTATCAAAGCATCAAGTGAGGACAGGAGCTGCCTGCGGCCTGTGACCCTAGGCATGTTTTGGGATGTGATGGCAGGTGGGGCGTTCAAACCTTTACAGAGAGACCCATCACGAAAACCCAAGAAAAAAACCCAAAAAAAAGTTGGGTTTTTATGGGTTTTTGACATGGGTTTTCGTGATGGGTCGTAGGTTTGTACACCGCTAATGCTTTGTAGCCAAAATAAAGCAAACAACAAGTGGAAGTGGTGATTTGGTTGGCTGTGTCAAATTGACCACACATGGGAGGTGACAATGGACAAAGTGTTGTCCACACTGCCAACATAGATGCCTTGGGTCGAGAAATCCAAAGCATCATTGGAGGCAAATCCTTGGACAGACTTTATTCAAGGTTGTGAACTAAGGTATTCTTTTGCACTGAGGATTACCTTGGATCAAAACCTCGGAAACGTTTTCTCCAAGGGTTGGGATCCAAGGATACCTTGTATTAAATGATCCAAGGTAAATATGTTGGTGGTGCCAGCGCAGCGGACTCAAGCATGGAATACGCTCAACAGGGCGTTTGGACAATGTTTCAGATGTAACTTGAACATTTTGTGGTTTTGACTCAAGTGGCACCTCACAGCCACCATACACAGCAAACTTTTCATAAAATTGAAAAGTCTGACTTTTGCATAGTTGGCTGTAATTATCAATCTGGCCTTCAAATATTTGTGTCCACAGTAGGGGGTTTCAAGTCGAATTTTTTATGGCATTTTTACAGTACAACAACTTCTCCAAGATGGTAAAATTCACCATGAATGTAAAAAAAAATTGAAATGCTGTCACAGTCAACTGTATATTTGCAGAAAAAAAAACAGAAAATTTCAAAACTTGGCCATTCCATAAAGATTTCATGCAAAAATATCCTGACTTGAAACCCCCTAGTGGACCATTTGTTTTTGAACTTTCATATTCTGTACAAACATACTCCAACCTGGCTTGAAGCAATTCACATCTTCAATCCCAGAAGACACTTTATCTTGTTGAGGATGGTCAAGAAAGCCTAATATGCTGTGAGATGGTCTTCAACAAGTGCAATGAATTTTACATTGACACTATCTGGATATTCAATTACAACCCAAGGTTCCAGAACATACTTCAATTTGTTGAGGGTGATCAAAATGAAAGTGCCTGCAGATAAACCTTGCCTAGGCTTCAATATACCAGTGGGACTGGCACATGTTTAATCTCTCATTCAACATCTTATTGGTGTTGAGAAGCGTCTGGATATGTAGTGATCCACATGCATCAAGTGGACTTGGTGAACAAAAATTCTACGCTAAAATAAGCAAACTATGTATAGCCGGATGCTCTGAGATGAGTCTTGCTGGAGTGAAAAGATATACGTGTATGGCAGGGCAAGAAACACGAAACCGCGGACCCAGTATCTTGTAATCACAACAACACAAAACCCAGATTCCTCAGTCTTATAAAAGTTGCAAAAAACAAGAAATTCGAAATGTGGTCCGCTGAGGATAGTTTTGAATAGCCCTCAACAAGACTCAGAGGAACTCAAATTCCTCTCACTTTGTCTTTTGAATGCTTTTAGCGACTTGGACATTTTTTTTAAAAAAGTGCAATTAATTGATTCTTGCTGTCACCTATAAGCCAAGAATCTTGCCGTTTGTTTGTATGTTATCTATATGGTCTGGTGTCAAAAGGATTGGAGTCCGGACATCTACTTTGATGCACGATGCCCTCTGCTTGGCAACAGACATTTTTGGTTAGAAGATAACCATCAATCACAAGATGGGAAGTCTTGGATCCAACATGTGTGGTTCATGTGGTAACAACTCCCGGTTTTGAGTACACACGGCTTTTCCAACAAATGAACGAGTGTGTACCTTCATTGCAACTTTCCACAATTTCATTAGGATCATCTATTCCTCACATTGAATTACACTCCCCAAGATCAGGTACCCTCTATGACAAATAGGATTTTTCTTTAAAGGACGAACAAATAAGATGCCGAGTTCCACAACACAGCCAACCGAGATAGGATATCAAGATTATGAACCTAAGCTGAACTCAGCCTGTACACTGTTTTCAGTACCCTTTGAGCCAGTTGAGACTTGAACTTTACCCTGTCTGTTTTCGATTGTCAGGACGATTGTGATGTTCTCTCCAGCTTGAACATTCTGAACATCCACATGAGCAACTGCACACTCTGGGTGAACAACACGAGTCCGTACAGGCTCTTCGTCTTCATCATCCTCATCCTCTTCATCATCTGCCTCATTCTTACCGTGTCCGTTTGGCTTAGGCTCTTCGACCTTGAACGACTGGACCCCTTGCCAGATGTCAATAGGGATTTGACCACTCTGTCCAGTTTTAGATAATGCAATTTGGAATGACTGTTTGATCGGGAGAGGTGTAAAGGCATCGAGTAGTGTGACAAATCGCTTGCCGTCTTTCACATGAGGTGAGGTGAGGTCATCTGATGGTAGTAGTAAACCGATAGGTTTCGATAAACATTCAACTGCAGAGCACTCTGGCGTTAAGGTAGATGTAAATTCGGCTTTGAATTTTTCAGAATCGAGCGGATAGTTTTGCACGTTGAGTCTTGCTTGTAATGTACATCCGATAGCTACGACTTCGTCCGGTTCGATTGCGGATTGAACTTGGATGTGGGGATTGAGGGCTTGTGCGAGATCGTAAAGTTTTGGCAGCTTCGCGGAGCCACCTGCGAGAATCAGCTGTTGACCAATGGACATGCCAGTCAGTCAAACCATTCAACCACGATGATCAATGGTAAAACTAACCTCGTGAAAGTCCTCTTTCTCCAATCCGCTCTTCGAAATGGTCTCATTGATCAAAGTCACAATTCCAGCATAATGTTTGTTGAGAAGCAAATCGCAACGCATACGGTTGATGCTTCCACTGAAATCGTATCCATCAAACAAGCTGTCAACACTACAGTTTGCTGAATTCGACGCTGAGAGCGTTTTCTTCGCAACTTCGGCCGCAAGCCTTAGTTTCACTAAAGAACGATGATTCTGATCGTCGGACATGTTCAAATTGGTTTTGTTTTTCTTGTTAAACTCTTTGATGAAATATTCCATTAATTGGTTGTCAAATTGGTTTCCACCTATCCGTGTATCAGTGCTAGAGGCTAGAGGAACATATAAACCGTGCCGGCGGCATAAGGCCGTCGCTGTGGATGTGCTACCCCCGATATCCAAAACAATCACGTTCGATTGTGCTTCACGTCGGCCAGACTTGAGGTCGGCCAGGTCATATGCAATGGCAGTCGCAGTAGCTTCATCGATAAACTGTAAGACCTTGACGCCTAGTTTATCTTCCGCAATTGATCGAAGGGCTTCGATTTGGGCGGCATCAAAGTAACTTGGGATCGAGAAGACAGCTGCGTCTGGTTTGCGACCAACGAAATCTTGTGCATATTGTAACAAGGTCTCCAAGTATTTAGTGTTGATCTCAGTGACTGTTTTGATATGTTCTTGGGCTGATTCAGGCGAGTCTTCATCGGCTTGGATCTTGATCGAGTAAGCAGGTTGACCGTCCTTGTTGATTAATGGAGCAGAGTTGTAAAGAGGTTTGACGTCTTTGACCTGCTCATAGCTACAATCCAAACAGCCATGATCGTGAGACGTGGAAGCAAAGACGAACGGACATGAAATATATCCAATCACTTACGTTTTGCCTAACAAGTTTCTGAAACCGACGATGGTGTTTGCCTGATTCCTGACCAGTTGAAGACGAGCTGGATTACCGATGTACTGGGTGGGCCAGAAAACCAAAATCAGTCGTTGAATGACTGCGGAAAGAAATGATCGAGTACCGCGTAACGTACGACTTGGGCACCAGAGTAAGAAACAACACTGGGTATCTGCCTTTCTCCATCATCGTTGGCAATACAATCAGCCGATCCGTCCTGGCAAAAGATGTTTGAAGCATAATCAGCATATGTGAAGAAAACAAAACGAGATCAAATGACATTTGGTGGTTGCACTTACTTTGTTGATGAGGGAAACGCTACTGGCAGTTTGACCAAAGTTGATTCCTACCACGATAGTACTGGGCTTTGGAGGTGGGATGGCTTCTAAAGGTGTACCAGGCGTCTGAGGAGTTGCTGCCTTCGAAACAACTTTTGAAGCTGATTTTGAGCCCTGGTTGGACTTCTTTTGATTTTTTTTTGGAGGCATGACCGATTAAGTTGAAACTGCGTCAAGAAAGAGTTATAAGGTGATTTAAATCGAATGAAGAAGTTCCTGGCGGACAGGCTCTGTAAGGACGATGACAGATTGAATGAGATGGCTGAGATCTGCTTGGAGGAGCGGGGTGTGTGCGTTGTCAAAAAAAAGTAAAACTCAGCAGTGTGGAATCTGGGCTGACAATCTCTAAAAGCATATGAACGCAGCAATACCCGTTTTAAGCATATTTCGCCCATCTGTAACCTGTTACCTGTCACTTTGGACCTTTGGTTCACCAGGTCCAAAATGAGATCTGGATGAAATCAAACAGAAGTCACAAAAAGAAACTTGCAACAGCATGATGTCTGATAAATCCCATTTTTTTCCAAGCAATCAATCCTGGCCAACCATAATATGCACTTTGAATTGTTACATGATCAACTCTACTGCCAACATGGTATCCTCAGATGTGTTGTATCAGTTTAACAGTGGGTACCACTTTCTGAAGATTCCTCTTGCCATGTCTTACCCAGCAACATGATGTGATGGTCTAACATTTAGAGACCAACATAAATAAATGCCAGGCCAGGAGATTCCTGAGTCTGCTTTGTCTTGAGAAATTATGGCAGGATTCAGAACTACTTGAAAATGTCCTACTGATACTTATGAGATCTTCAGGAAAGCTGGAACTATGGCAGTACAAGGGAAAAGTGTAGTATCCAATGAATGAACTGAAAAAGTCTCACCACTGCAAGAGGTGAAAATCAATAACAAAAGATAAGCAGATAATTTAACAGCCAAAGCTGTCTGGTGTATACTCTCTTGAAAATAAACAGAAAAGACACTGCTGCTGCTGGTACCAGAGAACATGTTCTCAGCATTTTATGAGTGTTCTTCTGGTAACAAAAATAATGGATCTTATTCTCAACGCTCTCAGAAAGTGCTATTCCAAGACTTGAAGCTGATACACATGCACTGAGACAAATATGTCCTTTCACAAGTAGCTGATTCAAGTGAAACAGAACTACTGAATTACATTTTGAAATGATAATAGTGATTATAACTCTTCTTCAATCTTACTATGGTTCTCAAAGTTCCATCCTCATGGTCTCCTTGATAATCTATTCAATCCTTCTTTCTATTTCTTTGGATATTCAATTGCTTTGATGCTTTGACCTTTCTTGTTTCAATAAGTATCAATGCTATAAAGTTGCAAAGAGATAACTTTGTGGAGATTAGCTGCAAGGAGGGCTGGAATTTTATAGGCATGCAAGCGCTTAGGTGGGATTGCTCAATACTTCGGCCAATATTGACTTGAGCGCACATGAGACAAATGTTGAGGAGATCATAATGTGGATCTGAAGACAAAGAAATTCCTATCTAGCAAGCTACACGGAGTGCAAGATGATCTCTGACCAACTGGGTTGTGGATTCTGGAAGCCTGTCTGATAAAGAATGGGACGAGATTCCAGTCTTATGATCCACAATCTAAAGAAGAGATTGTAGGAAAACAATACTGAAATCGATGAAGAAAGAACAACAAGCGGGAAAAAAATGTTGTATGAGTTAAATCATCGAATACAATATGTGACGTCATGATGTTAGGAAGGAACTACGCATATAACAATATACATCATGCAACCAATGGACACCACTACTACTATGGACAAAAACAACAACCGCCGTTGTCGCAACTGAGACACACCAGCGGCATGTCTGTGGGGCACATCTGATTGGGAAATGTCTCAGGTGACTCTCCGACTAGAAATTGTAACCTGAAGTCAGAACAGTAACATATGGATGGGTCATTGATGCAACACTGACCATGCAAGCAACAGACATTACCCTTCGGGGAACATTGGTTGTCGATCAAGCAAAAGTCTATGCATTCTCCCTGAACAATCTGCTGGTGACAGAAAAGGAGGAAAACAGCGGGTAACATGGACGATAATATGGTTATCGATTTCATGGCTGGATGAAGGAGTTTGTTGAAGGATCACGTTTCTTGGAAAGGTTGATGACTTCCACAGAAAGAATTCTATGTTAAGCAATATGATTTTCGAGTTGAGAAAAGTGGAAAGGCAGATCAGTGAGCTAGCTCGATGAAAGTGGAATTGAGTGGGAGAAAGGCTGAAGCACTTACCTGAAGGTTAAGGTTGACGAAAAAGAGATGTGAATGTGATCAAGTGAGGGAGGAAGAGGTAGGTTCATAAACCATCAGCAGTCTTATATCAGTACCCTCAATTTCATAACGCTTGGCCAAGTTTTCTTTAATAGCACTCAAGCAAATTGGCGCGGAACTCCTAAGTACCAAACTTCATGAGATCAGTATAAATACATACTTACGTCAACAACCAAACTTTTCCCCCGCCGAGCCGACTCCGAGCCGGTTGGAGACTTAACATAAGCCCCTCTTCCGATGCACAGGGCTCAATCGAAGATTCAGAGGTGAGACTGAACCTGACTGAACCCAACAAAGTCTCACACAGCCGCTGCTTCTCGTGCTTCAGTTCCCGCACGCTTCAAGCGCGAGAGTGAACAAAGTATAAGAGACAGGCTCAGCTTCAGGAGCTCCGAGTTCCACAAGAGATAGATCTATGTATTGCATACCTATAAGAGACAGGCTCAGCTTCAGGAGCTCCGAGTTCCACAAGAGATAGATGTGGAACCGGAGCTGATGCTGAGCTGCCGGCTCTTATAGTGGACCGATCGGGACTGCGCCGCGGTCGTGCCACGTAGGCGTGAGAACAGACTACAACACCCCCCCCACGACAAGGCGCGTACAACCGTACAAAGAAACAAAAGAAAAAAAACTGATCCCCCTTTTTAAACAACGTAGGAAGGAAGTTGTGATTGCAGAGACAGAAATCATAAAAAACGATCAAAAAAAAGTTAGAAAAAAAACACGTCTTAAATAACGGCGTTCTAAAATGATAACTTCGAGATCAAAGAAAGAAAAAAATTGACAACACTCAGGACAAATAAGAAAATCAAGACCAAGCACAAAAAAACAAGTAAAGATCCAAAAAAATGATGACAAGAGTGTCACATAAAGTATTCAATCGGGATGTCCGATCCTTCAGCTTTTTCGCGAGCCGCAGCTTCAGTTTCGAGAAAAGCTTCTGGTGAAATTTGAATGGACATAGCGGAAGGTGGAATATAACCTTCTGATGAAAAGAATCCTGGAAATGTTCCATCTGGATTCATAGGGATTTCTTCATAAGCGGGATCGACGGAAACAGTGTGAGCCAAGGGTGTTTTTGAAGTGTTCGAGCTTGATTCAGTTGAATTTGATTTTCGATCGTTTCTCGAGTGATCAGGCAAATTTGGTTGGTGTTTATTTGGTCTAGTTGTATTGGAGCTTGATGTTGAGGAGTGATGAGCAAAAGAGACTCGCTTTCTAGGACATTCATTTTTCCAGTGGCCTGTTTTATTACAGTAATGACAAACTGAATCTTCTTTTGATACACTTAATAATGAGATTGAATCGGTAACTTCATCCATTTAGGGTATACAAATATGGTTCTGGAAATTTCCAGAAGTGTTTCCCCAGAACACCAGAAGTTTTTTTTTGGGGGTGTTCTAAACTTATGGTATTCTGAAGCTTAGAACAACCAACACTGCATGTTTTCCAGAAGAGCAGGAGGTCTCAGGTGTTCTGGAAAAAGATATCTGGAAATTTCCAGAACAAACTTTGTATACCCTAATTGTATGATGACGTTTAAGATTGAGAAGAGTGGTTTGTAAAGCGGCTCGGATCTCCGTGCTGCTGTATGGACGTTTGTCGTAGGACCAGCGTAAGTCAAGAGTTGCGTTGGCCGCATCAAAATTGAGCTCAGGTTTATCAGGCATTGAAGCTTGATAAACCAAACTCATAACCGAGTCTCGTGTCCATACAAAGCCATCACGATCCAGGGCGTCGGCCAAACGATCTAAAGATTCTAGATGCTGAGAGAGTGACGTCTTGAAGATGTCCATTTGAGAACTCATCATGGATTGCCAGGTAGCTAGCTGAGAAGATCTTCCCGCCTTGTTGAATTGATTTGACAGGATGAGATATGCGTCGTGAGCAAGGAACGATTGCTGTTCACGGCGTATTACCGTTCGTAGATCTGTCGTTACAGAGTAATAAACTACACGATACGCTATGGTGTTTTCAGCGTGATCAATGTCAGGATGAAGTAGATTTGAAGGGTTTGAAGGAGTGTTAAGGTAGTCCGCCTTCCCAATCAAAAAATAAATATTGGCATTTGCTTCCTCTAACCAAGTATGGAAATTGGTTCCATCACTATCCAATTTTGCCATCGTCTTGGTAAAGTTCTCAACAGTGGGAGCGAGTTTGTCGAGACGTTGTAATCAGAGCTGGATGTCGGATCTGGTATGTACAACTTGATCGGCAGATTCGCCAATAAAGTTATCAAACGATAAAGGGTGGGGTCTCACTGGCTGCGGGTGAAGGGTCCGAGTCAAGTGAGGATGAGGAGGAGGTTGTCTATGATCAACAGGTGTTGAGGAGAACAGATTTTCTGGGTCTTGTCTCATGGTCTGATCATTGTCAGCAAAAGGTGGGCTTTGATTGTGTAGATTGCCGACTGGATTGTTTTGATTGCCAACCGAGAGTGTAGGTGAACGTTCACCTTGCTGATTAGTTGGTATTCCTGGTGGTGCTGATTCCGCACCAGGTCGAGTGTTGACTCGGCCACGAGATCCACGAGATGATGACCCACGAATAGACGGTGATCCTCGTTGAGAAGGTGAGCCTTGTTGGCTTCCTCGATTGCGTGTGACGGGTGGAGTACATCGCATACTTGGAGAAGTTCTTCATATAATGATTTAGATGAGATAAAACAGAGTCAAATATGATTGACGATAACAGAGTCGAATGGTCGACGGTAACAGACGTGATACGGATGACAGAGTCGAAAAATCGACGGTAACAGATTGACGGAGTCAAAAACTTGACGGTAACAGAGTTGAAAAATCAACAGACAGAGTCGAAATAATCGACAATTACAATGCTCAGCGAGACGCATGGGAGCAAGGGATCATAACCTATAAGAGACAGGCTCAGCTTCAGGAGCTCCGAGTTCCACAAGAGATAGATGTGGAACCGGAGCTGATGCTGAGCTGCCAGCTCTTATAGTGGACCGATCGGGACTGCGCCGCGGTCGTGCCACGTAGGCGTGAGAACAGACTACAACACAAAGCTCCGACCGAAGCGCGAGTCTCACCAGCCCGCCGCCACCCACTGTCCCATCACCAGTATTGCAGTCAGATCAGCTGATGTGAAGAAAAAATATTCAGAGATGCATGAGTACAAAAAACAAACAAACTGAATTCCACAATTGATATATTCCTACCTGATGTGAAGAATAAATATTCAAAATAAACAAACTGAATTCCACAAATGATGTGGAAGCTCAGATTCAGAGATGAGAAGTTTTGTTGCCTCCAGCATGAAATATGGCTGTGCTGCAGTCATGCCAGTCATGTGACTACATAGACCACCACCCTCATGACAATTCACAGACATCGAGGTGAAAAAAGTGAAACCAAAAATAAGAGAAAACAACAAAAGATTATATCGATATAAGAACAGCTGTTATCTGGAATTTGTCTTACCGCAACAGAGAATTCTTTGGACCAGCTAGCCAGGCTGGAATTGTTTACCTTGTCAACAGATTAATTTCCACCAGAAGCAGTGTCTGTACAAAGAAATTTAAGCAAAACAAAAAACAAAATTGAAAATTGAATAAGAAAGAAAATATATCAAATAGAAAAATATAAAATGAAATTGATGGATCATGTTTAAATTATTTGAATGTAGTTTTAATTTGTTCAGGTGAGTGTTAGGTTTTTTGAGGTTTGTCTGTTAAGTGATGGTCCCAATGGTTTGGTGAAGATCTCTGCATGTTGAGATTTGGTATTGATCCAATGTAGAAACATTTGCCTGTTTTAGATTTGTTTGTTAATGTAATAAAATTTTCTATCTGTATGATGTGTTCTTTTATTAGATGGGTTATCTTTAGCAACATGGATAGTGGACATGTGTCATCACAAATCATATCTATTACATTACCAACACCAGTCAATTCCTCAATTAAATTTCTCAACCAAACAGCATCACAGCTTGCAGTCCATGTTCTACATGGCATGTAGCTTTTTGATGTCCAAGAGATTGGACAGTTCAGAAAATAGGTGATAAATCCATGTGAAAATTGTGCTCCCTTGCCACCCCAGTTGGCATCTACATAAGTGTGAATAGATGTGTTAACTGTTATTTTAATGAGTTTGATGATTAGCCTCTTGATACTGGTAGTGTTGATGTTTCTCATGATGTGTTCAATTGTGTTGCAGTGCTGACAATGTGGATCAGAGGAGAATTGTGCCAGGTAGTTCACCATTGTGGTGAGCAAAATTTATTGTCAAGCGGGGTTTCCTTTTATATTAGCTGTAATCAAACCTAACCCCATTGACACAGAAACCTGGTACACCCGTTGACAGCTCTTGACAGAGTCCAGCCAAAAGGTTGACCGGGTGTACATACTGGGTTTTTGTGCAACCGGGTTAGGTTTGAACACAGCTATTCTTTACATAACAACTGAATAACCATCCTGAACAAACAAATGAGTCAAAAGGTTATGCATAAACTAGTCTAAGGCAAAATACTCCTTGAGGATGAAATCAATAACATCAACATATCATCTCAGGATCTGTGGTATGGTTACAGCAGAGCTACTGCCATAGTTCTTATTGAAAACTTTGACCCAATCTGTTGATAAATTATTAACATTTACACACTCCATTATTGTAGAAGTTGTAGTTGAGGAACATGTACAGTCTAAAACCATATACTCAGATTTAAACTTTCTTTTTTTACCCTTTTTATTTTGCTACATATTGGTATACATAACAATGTGTAGATTATAAGTAGAGATGGGGTGAAAAAACTAGGGCAAGTAGGAGAGGACAGGATAAGAAACCGGTGAATGATTGTGACAAACTTAGAAAGAAAAAATGAAGAACTTAGAAAAGAGGCCAACAAGCCTACCAAAATTGTAAATCAAACCTTGAAGTCACAGGGTGGAATATGAAACAAAAGAGCAAGTGTCAGATAGGGGATAAGAAGGGTAGAAAGTGTTGGGGTTTGGGGAAGTCAAGTAGTTGAGAGTATGTTGAGGGGATGATTTTTTTTAAAAAAAGCGGAAGCAAGTACAATCATGGGATACAAAGTAGAAACCCAGACTAAATTCACAGGTCTTTCCCCAGTGTTTTTTTGGCTGGAGGACTAGTTTGGGAAAATGGGCAAACTAATTCTACAGCCAAGACAAATTGTGAAAAAACCCGGATTTGATTCCAGGCTTCTACTTTGTATCCCACAAATGTATTATCATGGGAGGAAGCACCAAAAATAGAAGGAAGGAAGTGTTGAAGAAATAAAATAAGTGAAGGCTTATCAAATGAATGGTTTGTAGCCAGAGTATGATTGAAACAGTTTTTTTAATTGTAATCAGGGAAGTGGGAAGTGGGAAGTGGACATGGCTGTGTTGTATTTTTTCTTGTTGTTGGAGTACTAAAAACATTATATACAGAGCCTTCTCTAGGCATTGTTTTAATATTTTCTTTTCTTTCTTTCCTCATCACCAACAGAACAGTGGCTATTACTTACATCAGAATACTTGTGTGTTCTCTGTTAGCTTTGAAAATTTGCCCCCTCCAACAAGGGAGATATTTGATATCAGTTAGCGTAGTGGTTCTTTTTTTCTCTTTTTTTTAAAAAAAAAATCAGTTGCTGGTCTTTTGTTGCGTAAAACCAACCTGGGAATAACATCTATATTTCTGTTGAGGGTTACTTCATCATGAGCTTTAAAGCAATGGAGGTAGTCAAAGTAGAATTCTGAAGCATTCATCATTCCCTTGAGTTCCTCTATTGGGTAGCCTTTTGGGCACCTCTGAGACTGTATATCATATATTAGTGTTAGAAACCTCCTTTCAAGTACTGTTTATTTCTATATATGGCATCTTGTGTTGTTGCTCAAAGATCATTTCTCAACTAGGAAGTGGTGTGTAGGTGTGACTCGTGAGCAGTGTACGGTGTAACTGTTGTGATACTTGGTTATTGTTGGTAAATGTACTAACACACAAGGGGTTAGCACTTACATTGGTCAAATCAAGCGGTGTTGGAAAAAGTTTTCTGGGTCTCTCCCTATCTAATTCATGTTCTTGTTTCCCCCCTTTCTCTTTTTGATTCTTTCATTGTCAAAAAGGATTGGCGAGTCCTTCTCTTTATCATAGCAAAAGTTTTTCCCTCAATTTCAATCTTTACAAATCATATTACTCCATTTTGCTTTTTCTTCTTGGTGGCATTTTAAGATCTGTCAATTTTTGTTCTTAAAACTGAACTGTTCTTTACTGCGTGCTCTTTACATTCTTTTTCAAGCACACAGGTATTTAATTTTTTTTCTCATAACTTAGTAGTAGTTGTTCTTTTATCTGATTCTTTCTTTTAATTTTGTTGATACTGAACCTTCTTAGGTCATTCCTTCTCGATCTTGTTGTAGACTAGCAGAGTAGCTATAGTCTCACGCGGAATCCTGTGCCCCCATGTATTCATTTTCTTTCAGCAATTAGCTTTACTCTGCATTTGTCATTTGAGACAAAAGGTTCTGTGAAACTTTATAGTTTGCTGTCTGTTACACTAAAGTTACTACACCATATATGTGATATCTGGGTGTGTGGCTGCAAAACAAGTAACTGGGACTGCAAATTGCTAATAAGTAATGTTAAGTACCCATGTGTTCTTTTTCATTGTCTAGAGAGGCTGGTGTTTTTTGGATGTCCACTGGGGTCTTAACAGTCCTGTTTTCAGGTAGAGATGAGTTTAAAAAATAGTTAGACCTGGCTGCCACAAAGTGAAGCTACAATCTTTGTTCCTATTGACATTCACTTCAATGATTTGATCCAATTTGTTTTCCCACTTGATCAACAGTTTCTCTTTCAGTTCTTGAGCAATTTCAAAGAGGAAATTGTCAGATGTTCCAGTCACTGCACTATCATTTCTGTGAAGCCAGATGATAACAGTTTTCCTCTTACGTTGGTAGATGTATAAGGACTGGGTGTATTGGCTAGATGTGAATCCAATAATAGATGGTGATACTGAAAGAGTCACAATAAATGTGAGTAAGGGTGCTTTAAGGCCTGAGATCACATAGAAATAATGAGAGAAAGTCTGCACCTGTTGGAAGGTGGCGAGTAAAATAAGTAAAGAAGTTTGAGTGAGCAAACAACAAAACAATGTGGGCATCTCTTTATATAGTAGAACAATCTGATCTAGACGTAGGTTAACAAACACTTAAATTTTGTGACTCACACACACACCACATTAGCGTTAGTGGCAATACAGAATGGTAACACGGAACAACAGAAACAAATAGACCAAATGACTCAATAGGAACTAGTAGGATAGTAAGAAATGTGTAAACAAGCCTGAATTTAATATCCTAGTGCTCTCCAGATGGTGTCAAAGTGTTTCCACCAGCATGACACTCCTAATTGTTTGATACCATATAGTGTTTGAAGTGCTTGTAAAACTTGATTTTTTCTTTGGGGATTCACTCATGTATCCAGTCAGGAGTGAGGTTGGTGAGAGATAAATCAATGAACCCATGGTGCTATGTAACTACACTGAGGTGATATCAAATGATTGTACAGGCCACTTTTTGCACAATGTGATGGTTAACACAATCCTCAGACCTGCAAAAGTTGCAGTTGGTTCAAAAGGTTTGGTATATTCAATGCCTTCTTTTTGGTTGAATCCTTTTGCTACTAGTCTAGCTTTGAATTTGATTGGATTTCTTTCATCCACATTTTTTCACAAAACCAACTTGAGATCAATTGGTACTAAGTTTTCAGGTTCATTACCTTCCATAATTTCATCTTGTTCACAATATTCATCTAAGCATTGTATGCTTTCTTCCACTTGATAGCATTGGATTGCGTAGCTTCAGCATCAGAGTGCGTGTCCGTAAGAAGATGAAAGTTTTCCCACACTCCACAAAAAGACATTTGTAATGAGGTGTGTCCCAACCAAAAAACCAGCACAACTCTGAGAACCATAGAATCTGGCACACATCCATGTCTGCATGTTTCTTTAGGACAGGACAAGTGGCAAAATGTCCTTTGAGCTCAGAAGAGCAGGCAACTGTTCAAAGACAAAACTCACACCACTGAACACTCCACTTGAACATCTATTACCAACCACCAGATCAACCAGGAAAATTAGGATTGAGGGTGGGCATAGCTGTTCTTTCTTCTGACTATGTTCCTTACAGGTTACAAGCAAGCAAGAAAAGAAAGGCAAAGAGGTATGAATTTACACCATTAGATGATGCCATGGTTTGGTCCAGATCTTGACTTAATTCCAATATGACACTTTGGTACAATTAGTTACAAGTGTGGTAGCCTCAAGAGCAGCAAGGCTTTAGAGCCAGTTTCCTTTTTGAGCGCAGCCTCAAAGTGTGCAAGAAGCAGTAAGTGTGCAAGAAGCAGTGTGGGACATTGTTGAGTTTAACATATGTAATTGATTGGCATTTGTTCAATTTGTTTTTTACTTGTCAGTGAAGGATCAAGGCTTGGCAACTGTATTACACTGAGTTTGAAGGCTTGTATTCTGTTTGAGCTCCCTTCAAAACATTTCAATTTCTTTATCCATTTCTTGAATTCACATCATCTCAGATCATTTTTTCATCCTTTTCTTGGATCTTATGTGCACTCTTTTTGTATCTTGATTCTTTCCTAATAACTTGTTTCTCTTGGCTTGGTTTGGATTAGTCTTCTTCAATGACCAATTGTATTCCTTGGTCTTTCTCCTTGGAGTGATATTTTCCTTGATCATCCAAAAACCGGAAGGCTGTTTTAGGCTGTGTTACAAGTCTATTTGACAAGAATGTTGTTGGTCAGCCAAGTTCCAATACCACCACATATTTCACAGTCAATAACCTTTTGGAATGCAATCAAATCAGTTTTAGGCACAGGTGGCAAGGGGTCTTGGGTTTACTCTGAATTTTGTGACCCTGGGGCCTGGAATTGAAGCAGATATTAAGAGAATTTGGGAGTACTGTGGGCGGCCTACTCAATCAAGTACAGTGCTCAACTTGAAATCTGAACAAAGGCAATAATATCAAAGTCCAAACAGAAGCACAGTGCCTTACACAGGGGTAGAGACCCTACCTTGCCATCAGCTTGAAGATGCTTTGCCAGATTCCCAAGACAGGAATATCCTCTCAATCACACACCACCCAAAGTGACTAGCTAGGAGCTCAAATCAAACGTTTTATATCAAATATGTCACAATCAATTTGATTTGATTCACATTCCTTTATATTTGTATTTCCTCTCTGATATGTGTCTCTTGTCCGACTATGTTCAATCCAATTAAATGAAATTTATAAAATTCAAAAAATGGTTCTATCTGTTGTTATATGCTGCTTGTCCAACTGATATATGCTTATTTACAACAATCTCAAAAAGAAAAAATTGTGTGTGATACGCTTCTTTTGGTCCACTTTAAAGCCATCTTAAAATTTGGAAATTGAAAAGAACTTCTCTCTTTTGTTGGGTTCAACTATTGAAATCTGAAGAAATCAAAAGATATTGTTTTGTTTCAAAATAAATAAAGTCTAGACTGACTATAAAGACATTGAGTAAAAAGATTACATTTAAAATAAAATAAAATATGTGCAAATTAAATTTCCAAACTTTGAGTGAGTAGAAATATATTGATTCTCTTGAAGGTCATAAGTTTGAAATTGACTTTAAAAAGATTGAGTGAGTACAAGTATGTTAAATTTCTTGAAGGTTATAAGGGTGTGATCAAAACAATAATACCCTTTCTCAATACAAAACACACAGAATCAAGAGTTACAGCATTGATTTTCCAAAGAATCCAAATAAGCCAACATTTGAGCTTAGGTCATAGTGTTGTCTACAGCTTCCAATTTAGTGTTCATGTTGATACCAAATACTACCATTGCTGATCCATCCACAATCAGGATGTTGTGGATGACTGCACATGCAGAAATACAATAACATACATATGTAGCATCTTTTGAGTTGCTGATTGATAGTTTCAGCTTGTGAAGGGATCCAAATCACATGTGTAAGATGCCATTGCAATGTTCTGATGCAATTCTAATTTTGGAAATTGACCTGTTGAAGTGAATTTGACATGCTGAAAGAGTGCCAGATTGTGATAATTCAAATAGTGGTACAACATGTTGCACAGATGCATAGCTGTCAGAGTTGGTTAGGATATACTGTCCCTCTGAAAAGAAAGATGGGATTTCTTGATAGAACTACATAGATATCTATCATCAGGTTGGATGCAGAGAAGATAAACCAAGTGACAAAAAGGACATACATGAGTAGACTTCAACACTTGTTGATTGTGTGCACTTCCACGCCAACCATAGACTATCCTGTGATACGCTATTTGTATTTTTAGGGGATTATTGGATTATAAAAAATGAACACAATTTTTGAACATGGTCCTGTTGGGGACTTCTGTCAAAGTGCCATTTTCAAATGCTCATCTTTGCAGAGTATTTTTTTCGCACACCACCTAACAAACCTCTCACGGATTCCATTGAGGCAAACTGTGGGACCGAGTTCGGGAGTCGCAGTCTAAAACCGCCCCAAATCGACCGAAATGAGCGCAGTGTGAAATTAGAATGTCGTGTGTTTGGGTCCTGGGAATGAATTTATGTATTTGATGATTTGATTTTTTTTTAATTTTGAAACCGAAAATCGAAACTACGACCAAGTGAAGATTATAAATAAAATGAAGTTCTAAATTAACCGATTCCAAAAGTTTACAAAATTCCAACTTTCATTAATCATCATCAACTCATCAGAACCCAAACCATCAATCCACTCAATCCAAACCAATCAGAACTCAAACGTAAAATGGCTATTAGAAGACTTTCAATCTCATCACATTCTCAACAACAACAACAACAACACTTACCTCGTTATTATACTCCAATACCAACCAAAGATAAAGAAGACCAATTATTACTTTCGATATCAACTTCAACAACTCCGATTCATCACTTTAATCCTTCTTCTTCTTCCTCTTCTTCAACTTCTTCAACTTCTTCATCAACTTCACCTTTATCAATACCTTCACTTATCACACCTATCAACTCATTCTCAAAACCAACTCAATCCATTAATCATTTCTTCGATTCCTTACCTTTTTCTTCATCTCATTTTAGATTTAGAAGACTTTGGGTTTTATTCTTTTTGACTCTTTCAACTTCTGGACTTATCTTATTAATCTTATCTCTCTTTCATCTCGATTTACCTCATCCATTCTCAAGTTTCTTTGAAAGTCCTCCAACTCGCTTACTTGATCTAGAAGATGATTTTAGATCTACTACTACTACGAATCATACTGCCACATCATCACATCAAATTCCGTTCTTACTCAATCGATTCGGTTATACAGATGAATCAAACCTCAGCGAATTACCATCCAACGATCCTATACCTTCAATCCTACACATCGTACCACCTGGAAAAAACGTATTCTCTTATCTTCAATGGTTATCAATCAAATCAGCTATTACTAAAATATCACCTCAACGAACCATGGCTCATATGATTAAGGGTACAATACCAGAACCAGGAACGAATTTTTGGTGGGATGAGATGTTAAGATTACCAAGTGTAGAGATTCATGAAACAGAAGATCGAACGAGTATCTTTGGGAATCCAATCTTAGATATCTCACATAAAACAGATGTCATCAGATTAGAAATGTTACAGAGATTTGGTGGGATTTATTTGGATACGGATATCTTGGTCCTAAATTCATTTGACGAATTGTTAAAAGGATCTGAAGAAATGGTCATGGGAATCGAAAAGGCTGATGGCACTTTACTTCATCCTACGCTTGTGAATGGATTGTGTAATGCGGTGATTGTGGCACAGAGAGGTGCTAAGTTTTTGGATGTTTGGTATGATTCATATCGTACTTTTGAAGGACAACCTTTCCGAGGCGGTGGAATTTGGTTCGTGTTCTCTTCTCTATGTTCCTGTAGTATCAAGTGTGATATGAGAGAGACTTGAGGCTGATCTCCTTTTACTATCCATCACATTACGCAATTTATTGACTTATCCTTCATCGAAATCTAATCTTTTCATAACGCGTCAATCATCTCCCTCAACTCCCTTAACCACCCTATCAAATCAACAGGAATTATCATTCAGTGATCCTACCATGGGCCCTAGCAAAGAATGCCACTTCTAGTCAAGCACACATCACAGTCCTAGACCATCACTCATTCTTCATGCCACTATGGGACGATCCAGGTCTCAAACAAGTTCATGGAACCTTGACCGAAACCGATCCAGAACCATCACCCTTCAAACCCAATCAATTTGCTTATCATATGTGGCATCATCTCTTAGATGAAAGAATTTCAATTGCAACTGACGATTTATTATTATCTGCAAATCAATTAGGACCTGAAGATGCATTGAATAGAAAGAGTCATTTTAATTTGATTGCAAGAGAATATCTTTCGGATTCGGTTTTGGATAGGTTTAATGATTGGAAATCGAAAAGTAAACTTGATTGATGATGACGAAAACCAAAAAAAAAAAACATGAAATGAATCCAAAAAAAAATTAAGAAAAAAATTGGTGTTTTTCTTTTTTATTTATATATAATCATTTCATGAAAAAAATATTGTTGATTTGGTTCTCTTCTTTTTTTTCTTTTTCTTATGATTTTCTTTTTTTTCTATTTTTGATTTGCATTTGTTGTTGTTTTTCTTTTGCTTCTCTTTTTCTTTCTTTTTATTTTCTTTCATCAGTTGAAGCATTTTCCCCTCCCCCACAAATGTATCATTCAAATCCTTTTGTTTTTTTATAGTCAAGTTTGATTTTTTTTTCTTTTATAATTTCACAGAATCAATGATATATAAATTTTTTTTCATTACAATATATATATATATATATATTCACAATTGTGTTTATTTTTTTTTCCAACAAAAAAAAAGATTGATTTTATTTTTTTTTGATTAAAGATTCTAATCTTTTTCTTTCTATTACACCACTTTTTTTTTGTTGCTGGACTTGTTTTTTTTTTTGTTTTTTTTTACTTTTTTTCATCTTTAGAAAAGAAGTGCAATTCATAATAATAAACTAAGAAATCATAAAAAAGCTTGATACTTGAATCAGACTATCATCAGATTCCTTGCTATGGAGCACTTGAATGGTATGAATGATTTCTTCTTAGCTGTGACTATTTATATGATCTTCGAAATGGATATGGTTTGTTTGCAAATTTATATCTTGATTTTTTTGTGAGCAGAACTAGGGCTTGTGTTAATGACAGATGATACTCAAAGGTGATAGGACTTGAGGAATGATGAGATGCAAGAGAAGCCTCAAGGGTGATCTAGTAATGAGATTAGATTGCTAAGTGAGGAAGCACTATCTGTGCGCTGAGCCAAGTATGATGAGAACAGCTAAGTACATAAGTGCCTAAGTACTGGCAGTGCTATAAGGGTCATAACAAAAGGCATGACAGTACCATTGCTTGCCATGAAGCACAGGGGATATTACTTTTTCTAAAATGAATGGCACCCCTGGCCCGAGAAAAAAATATTTTTCAGCGCCGCAGTCCCCGCAGCCGGTGCAGTGATGCATACAGAATCCAGATCAGCTGGCTGACGCGGCCTGCTGAGCACTGTAATTGGCAATCACTCACCGAACTCCCTCTACGATTGGCTTTCAACACCCACTTCCTCGACATTTTTCCTGACGCCTCAAACCAATTGCTTCATCGATCACACGTAAGTCGTCCTATCAGCTTTCTAGCACACCTATTCCACGTTGACTTATAACCTTTTCTCTTTTTCTTTTTCTTTTTCTTTGACTTTGACTTTGATTTTGATTTTCTCTTCTTTTTTTGACCATGTAGATCAAAGACTACCCCGATTCAAACAGAGACCGTCATATGTCTAGTTTTGCTACAGGTCACGGAGAAGGGATGGGCATTTGATTGAGATCTCATTGATTTAATTGAATTTTTTATTATCTAGTTAACGAACACGATCATTCTGTTGATCGGATTGATATCACAATTGTTTCTTTACCCGATGTATCTTTTTTATTGAATCTCTTTAATACTTTTGAACGTCTCTTGATTTTTGTGCTGTCTGACTCAGAAATCAATGCAAAGAAGGAAACTTTTGTTTGATTTGCCATTCAAAACCAAACTTATCTACAAAACATCAAATTAAATTGTTCATATTTATTTGAACAACTTTTAACATTTCAGTTAAGATTTTAGGATGAACGAACTAGATACTGGATCCTCTATTTTAGTGAGATTTGATTGAAAAACATTGAGATTATCAATATAATTGAAAGTTTTTTGTCGATGCGACAAAGAATGAAAAAGACAATAAGCTGGATCATGTTCTGCTTGAGTAACTATAAGTTGTTTGGCGTCATTTATGTTGGATCATAAGTGAGATTAATGGGACTTTCTCAGTTTGTAGGCTCATACTTTTGGAACACAGTGAACTTGCATTGATCAAAACAAAAACAAAAAGTGTGAGTCATCACAACCACAAATAAGAACTGAGAACAAATACTAGCATAAGCATCAATTACTACAACTTGAAAAGTCATTAACAGGAACCATGAGTTATGATATCCTAGAGCAAAACTTATCATAAGGACACATTTTTTGTAAAAAAAAAGGAAATGGTGGTCTGGTACCAGAGATAGGCCAAGTACGAGACCACCCCAAATCACTCATAACCACCCTCAATCACTTGAAATCATCTCAAAAGTGAGTATCATCTTTGCTTATGACGGTGTCGGTTTGAACAAGGAGTTGGGGTAGTCTTTGATCTACATGGTCAAAAAAAGAAGAGAAAATCAAAATCAAAGTCAAAGAAAAAGAAAAAGAAAAAGAAAAAGAAAAAGAAAAAAGGTTATAAGTCAACGTGGAATAGGTGTGCTAGAAAGCTGATAGGACGACTTACGTGTGATCGATGAAGCAATTGGTTTGAGGCGTCAGGAAAAATGTCGAGGAAGTGGGTGTTGAAAGCCAATCGTAGAGGGAGTTTGGTGAGTGATTGCCAATTACAGTGCTCAGCAGGCCGCGTCAGCCAGCTGATCTGGATTCTGTATGCATCACTGCACCGGCTGCGGGGACTGCGGCGCTGAAAAATATTTTTTTCTCGGGCCAGGGGTGCCATTCATTTTAGAAAAAGTAATATCTCACAAGGCTGTTTTGGGGGCATCATTATGTTGAGGATATGTACCATCCTTTGATGCATACATTGGATAAAGACAAAGAATATGAAAGATTTCATTTTGCTCCTTTTTCCTCCCCTTTCTCCACATGTCAAATTCTCCTGGTCCTCCAGATATCTCATTGGGCACAGATGACGTTTGGAATCATAGATGCTATCAAGAAACACTGACTGACAAAAGCTTTCATGTTGTTTTTTTTGTGTCTAGATGCCAACTAACATCTATAGTTCTGATATCAAACTTATGGTGGTCCAGATGATTCTTTGTGGAATGCAGGTTGTAAGATTGTCACTACTCTGGGTAGCATTAGTGATTAAGATGCATAGATAAAGAACAAGAAAAAGTAATTAGAGAGCAAAAATTGATGCTTGCATACATGTGAGCATTGTACACTTTCCTGAATTCTCCAAACAAGATTGCTTCTCTTTCAGATTCCTTCAATTGACAATTTTGGAAGTGCTCAGGTGATCAGGCTGATTTGCTCAAACTTTTTTGTACATTGCTGCAGAATGTTCATTTCCATCTTGGATGAGCATTCTTTGAGATCTGTCTCTCAGATGAGTACTTGAAATTTGAATAAGTACTGTTGGATGCTGTTCTCCTCTGGTCCACCACTTATTGGGTTGCTTTGGTTACTTTTCAATACTAGTCCATTTTTTCCCTATTTTTGAATGTCTAACAGTCTTTGTTCCTGTTTCAAATCCCTCATACTCTTGTTTTAGGAGTGCTTGTGGTAGAAGCTCAACACGTGGTGGTAAAAGCTTGACAAGCAGTTGTGGAAAAATGCTATTTTTTCTGTTGTCCAGTCTCCTTTGCCTGAATTCAAAATGTGATTTCAACATAGTGTACAAGTTGCCTTTGCCTTTGTTTTGTTTTACCAGCTACCTTTCATCCTTCTTAATTAACTTTGAAAAGTGTGAGTTCAAAATTTGTCTTTGTGACACCACTTGCACTTCTTTTGGGATTTCTATTGTTTTTGAGGTTCTGAAAGCTTGACTTTAGGAGTTGTGTCTGAAATCTGCTTCAGTTTTTTTGTACCTTTAAAAACCTAACTTCAAAAGTTGCACTTTCCACTCATGTTATATCTATTTTTCATTGCTGTATATAAAGAAGATAATATCCTGTGAATTTGATGCCTATCATTCCTTATCCAATCATCTTCTTATCACCCACCCTTTAGAATCTAGCATTTAGCCATCCACACAACTCACCACTTATCATACCAAAATCAGCCTTTTGTGTTGATTATGAGGGTTATAAATGGTATGTAGATAGATAATTCCTTTATAGCACCTTGAGATTGTGGCAGTTATGAATAAACCAAGCAAGGTGTATGTTGAGCTAATTACAACCTTACAGCACATTTGAGTGTGTACCATTCAATTGTAGAACAGTGCAACCGTGGCAGGCATGCCCACGTGTTCTCTGGTATCTATAAAGTTGTCCAAATCAACTTAGACTTGTTGTAAAATATAAGAGCCCAAAATAGCAAATTTATCCGTTATATGGTTGCTTGTGTCAAGACAGTGGTAACTCGAAATCAGTAGCTCCACGCCTTTGACTCTGTGAGACTGTGAGTCTGTAAAAGCCAGTGAAAATATGAAAAAATGTCCTCGATGGGGCTGAGAGATCATTTTCAGAATGTGAGTGTAATGAAGTCTTTTGGAATTGTATTCAGTTTCTCAAAAAATCTAGATTTGTGGCCGGCCGTAGATTTTGAGCCAAAACTTATTGTTACCACAGTCTTGACACAACTCACTATAGTATGCGGACAGTGCTGCACCAGATGATCTGCAGTTGGGAGCAAATCTGACCTTGAAGTATGTGCCATTTTTTTCTTTCTTTACCAAATCCATCAAACTCAATTTGTCTACAATTATCTTATTGATCATCTTTGATCAATCCTTGAGATTTAAAGAATAAATTTGAGAGAAAACTTGAAAAAGGACGTAAGATAACTAAAACTGAATCAAGACAATCGAGGTAAAGAGGTAAAGAAGACTTCTTTATAGTGATGAAGTCAAAGAGACAATCTTGGTCATGAAGAGCAAGAGATCTTGACTCGTCTTTTTCAATTTGTCAAGGCTCTAAAACCACCTCAAAATCTTTCTTTCTTGTTCAAATTGTTGTATCTTTAGGCAATTAGGGACACCTAAATGGTTTTCTGAACTTTTAGAATTTACAACATATTTTGCAACAACAGACAACTTTTTTTACTGCAAAAAAACGTAAAAGCCGCGACTTGAAACCCCCTATTAGATAATTAGATATTGAAGAGAATTATTTAGGCTCGTTTGCTAGGTAGTATGAGGGTGTGAGACCGGAAAGACAACCTAACTCAAAGAATGAAGCCTTCTCTAATGGTTTCGGGTATTGACAGAGGTGTAAGGCCAATGTACAATGATAACATGTTCAATGGAGATAATGGAGAGGATGGAACATACAAAAAAAAGCAAGACCGCTATAAATACAACAACCCAAGAGCTTACACATCTCGCAACAGGCCAAGAAGTCTATGATATCAAACAAGAGCACCGCGTCTGTCAGAGGCTATCACTCTCGTGAAGGACACGCGTCCCCCACAGTACCCGCTCACGCTACAGATTGACAACGCGTCAGGAGATGCTAAATGGCCTTGAGATTTGATGGGGAAAAGCTCACAGGATCAATTTTTTGGCAGTCTGCTTCATGTTTGGACAGATAGCCCACATAGGTATAGGGCCTTCCGCAAAACCTACACTCCAGTCTCAATGGACCTTGTATTTTCAATAGCAAAGTCAGTTCATGTTGCCCGTAAGGGAAGCGAGAACCACTCACCCATACGATGTGTGCAAGAAGCATCATGTTTTTCGTAGCTGATTGAACTCTTACATCTTCTGTTACCTGTCCGGACAGAATGTTTGCAGTCAGTGTTAACAGCGTCTCCTATTCGATATGATGAACACAAGTTTATACGTACAATTTGGACATCTGCATTGCATATCGAGAAGAAAACATCGTAAGCAATACCATCTTTATTTCATGATCAGAGTGGCCAATCAGTTTGCAGGGAAATGTGCACCTGAATGTATCCGATTCACCTCCGTGTTTTCTTATCAAATTCTTTGGCCTTGGTACGGGTCTCATCATTGGAACATCTCTAGAGCTGCTTGCAACTGGCGCACTGACGTCTTCACCTTCTTGACTTCGCCCCTCGTATGTGGAGTTTGATTTGCTTCGGAATCGTGGGATAGCTGGCGGACGTAATTCGCTTTTTGGATGGAGTCTACGGATAGAGAAGTTCTGGGTATTACGGTCCATGTTAGTCTCAGACATAGTGCATGATGGCGGGCGATGCATTTTAGGTGTGAGGACTTCTGGTCGACTAGGTGGTGCAGAGCTAGAGAGCTGAGGACGGTTCTGCATTGAAGGTGATCCATCTTTCAATCCACTCTTGTGCTGATCCGGCATCTCACTATGACCAGGTGAGTTTGGCGGACGACGGGTGAATCTTTCCCTTGAAAAATCCGTGCATCCTTCCTCGTCGTCAGGCCGCGAGAAAAACTCTCGTAATAGAGCCAAAGAAGAAGAATCTCCAGGTCCTAGTGGACTGAGTTTGTTGTAAGACGGACAGGTGTGGGTAAGATATGTTCGTGGTTGGCGTGGGCTCCTGTGGCGATCAGTATGTTCAGACCCCCCGCATTTCGTAGACGTATTGTGTTGGACGTCTTGTTGAAGAGGTGAATTTGAATCTACGGACATTCCGAAACAGCGCGTAAGCCTACACTCGCTACAAAGCGGATAAAGCGGTCTTTTTCTTTCGAAGCGATGCCTCTCAAAATATCGTTGACATCAACGGCATAGAAGATCGCACATCGCCGCCTGTCATGCAGCAAGACCAGCCATATGAGGGTAGAGCATGCATAAGACAGCTCATCAAAAGACATACCTCGTTCCGAATTGAATCTGCACTCAGACCTGCCGACAGCCGGTGAAGATCTTGTCGTTTCGGGTTCGTAGCTAGCGTCATCACGGCTTGAATCCGAAACCGGGCTGGAAATTACAGTAGAATGTAGAGGCTCAGCTATGAGCGATGGTGTAGGCTCCTCGAACTCGAGGGGTACATCTCTGCGTCACTACTGGGGCAGATCTGCCACATACAATTGTGGGCCCGAACTGCGACAGCATGTCAAGAGCTGCACTCACTGGATGTCCATTTCGAAGTTGACGATACCTCAGGTATCGAAGGTATCAAATAGTTTGCAAGATCTTCGGACAAACGTAACACGATTCCAGAGATTGCACATCTCAGCTAGAAAGTTTTTCAAAATGCTATAGCACAAGTGAAAATGAGGCCAAAGTTCAACTCACATGAAGATTTTTCTTGGCCAAGACAATACGACCTTGATGGAGTCTAGAACATAAGAAGAGATCATTCATACATATATGGAGAAGATGAATGGTGAAGATAATAGGCTGTTTGAGTTAAACGTACAGTTAAAGAAACGATGTCGCAGTTTAGAGAAGGGAAGGGTTATCCAAGATTGTTTGGTTAGTTGGGTGGAATGAAGTTGCTGCTTTATATACTGTCGTTCTCGAAAAGCTTGTCCGAGTTTTCCCACAAAACTCGAGCAATTTGGCGGGAAAACTTGAACAAGCTTTTCGAGAACGACAGTATCTGACCAGTCGGCTTGTGAGATTATGTATCAGCTCTTGCTAGGTGGCTAGCATGCCGAATCGCAGTCCCGAGAGAACAGACGTGATAATTAAAATGTACAGACATGAGACCATATCCCCAATACCGATTGTTCAGCATCATAGAAAATCATTCAAGTCGGCCAAATTGCCTATTTCAGTCTCGGACACAGATGAAACAACTCGATCTGGATCTTTGGGAAAGAAGCCATAATAGCAAACGTCGGATGTACACCGGTATTACATGAATCGCGTGTGAGAGTATATATTTGCGATCCCAGCGGTGCATCAACGTCTATCTGTTAGTTCGACGTGGAGAGGACTTCACCAACTTGATATGTTTCTGTTCGCATTCATATCGCTACCGAATGTGAGTTCTTCGTGCAGTCTGAAGACACCAAGCTCAATAAAATCACACACCCTGGTTGCTGAGGGATTACCAATGAATCACCCAGTCCGTTGAAGTCGCGCCATTGACGTGGTGTGAATAATGTATCCTTTGTGCAGAGTCATGTATCACATAGTACATGCAGAGGCTGACAGACAACGCTGTGGAGCAAGAAAATTTTTACCTTCACGAAGTGATAAATGCTTTCTACTCGACATCCGACATCACCGCGACTGGGAAGGCATATGCTAAAAATAACTGCGTGGGGATAGGATTTATCATTTCACAGCATGTTCTAATTTGTTCTAAACACGGCGTTTGTTCTTTGAAACAGCTCCGGCCATTTCTCTTTTCCATCAAAATGAAAATCAAAGTAATTATCACATATTCAATTCAATGATGCTATTATCTAGTGAATTCGAATGATGTCCTCAATTTGAGGCGAGGATTGAGTTTCCCATTTTTTTGTTTGGGATGATTTTAAAAAATATTGTATTTTGTCCGTGTCCAACAAAGCCGGTTACATACTCTTGGTCACCTGTGCTCTTTGAATATACCTCGAAGTCTTGCCTACATATATGACGGCGAGTCTCCATACTACTCTTCACAGCTCCAACTGCTCGGGGCTGAGTCATTTGCGATGAGATGCACCCTATATATCTTTATCACCTCTCTGCCAAGGTGTCACTGATGAAGAATAACTACGGGGGGCAGGAGCAGCAAACATGTCAAAGGCAGAAAAAACTATTTAACTCTTAATTGTATTCCCTCAAGCTAGTGTTGACTGTGTCCAGCCTCTCAGTTCTTGGACGTCAAATTGTTATGTGTGCAGTGACCGCTCTTGCACTGCTAAACACCACCTCCTTTGCATCATCACCATCCTACCGCACTTGCACATTCCAGGTGCACCTCTACTCTAGGATCATACCCTCTCCAGAAGAGTGGCTGTACAATCCACGCCGTAGAAAATTCCAGATTCGACACAAGCGTAGAGCGCTCTCAGTTATGATGTGATCCTGATGTCTTTAACTTTTGCAACACGAAGTTAAGAAATCAAATATTGACACAAGTATTAGAGCGCGGCAACTGGGGTTGAAAACAGCCAAATGACGAAACAAACCTTCTCATTATCTGAAGACAGATGGTGAAGACGGTTTGGACAATTGCCCAAAAGCTTTTGGCAACCGTGTCTGAGAATTTGACTGCTGCACATCTGAAACTCCTGATTCCCTGTGATGACGTGATGTTTTGGCCAAATCAAACTCCTATTGACACAAAGGAGGATATCATGAAAATGCTCAAGTATGTCTTTACTTTGATGTTCCCAGCAGGATGAACAAAGTCTGCAGACACGTTGCACAAGTTCCAGAGTCAATTCCTTAAAACTGCCCACGGAAATATAACCAGTTTCAATGCGCTAAATGATTGTACCAGTATTTTGTTACTTCATTGGGATTGGAAAGGAGCGGTGAGTCCAGATTTAACAAAGCCCTTTGCAGGCGGTAAAACCCAAAGCCTGTGTAGGGACTTATGCTGAATGTGGCCCTCCTGGCCTGAGAGGCTGTGAGATATAGTAGAGGAAAAACAGACCCAAAGGGAAACTTTTGCTACATGAAAGCTTTGCTGATTTCCTCTTGGCCATTGAAGCCCTGCTTCTTCCAGGCATAAACCATGATTCAGATCCTGCATATCTTTAGCCATTCTCAAATTTTCATGGACATTTAAATTGATTGAAGTCAGATTTTGTTGTATGCACTACAGAGTCATTATCCTAATAATCCACATTGACCCATTTGCAAATCCCATCATTTTATGTTTTGTTCTAGTGCTCCTTATAACCATTTCTCATTGCCACCAATCCCAATGTGGCCTGTGAGAGTCACAACTTGTATATGTTTGTCAAACTGATATCTAGAGATTTGTTTTCTACATAAAAAGCTGTTTATCATGATTCTTGCAATCTCTTCTTATTTATCACCCACACTTGGCATAAGTCCCTATGCAGGATTTGGGTATCACATCCTGCAAGGGACAATGTTAAGTTTGTCGTGAGTTAGCTTTGACCTGTTTTTCTGTCAAAAACCAAAATTTGTCAGATGGAATATCTGGTGTGCCAGCAAGATCTCCATGGGCTGAGTAGCTGGCTACATCTCATGGTGTGCAGTTCAGATCAGCCATGTTCTCTGATATGAGGCCATCCTTTATTCTGGGTTTGTACACCGGGCACATTTGAGAGTCTCTATTACGATGAGTTTGACTCCAAGGTACACTCAACACACTCAGTGGTGCTTACATGCAGCCTTAAGGTCACAAATAGTGCTCAGGTGTGCCCGTCATGTGATATGTCCACACATAACTTGATCATATACTGGTGGTGGGCGCCATTTATTGCATGTGGTGTTGCCAAAGCTCTTCCAAGATGTAGAACAAGATGAGGAGAGAAAACACAGGTCCATCAACATATTACCTATTGTATGACAAGCCAATGGTACAAGAATTACACAAACAACAATGTTAAACTTCAAGTATGGGGACTCTGTGATCAAACAGTGTGGTAAAGGAATTTATGTGCTTTACTATAGCTTGAGAAGCTCATGCGCCTCCAAGCCGGGGAATGCCATCAAACTCTTTGGCTTTCCAGATCTCAACTTTGTTCCTCATGAGATCAATAGATTGCAGCTGAACTCAAAAGTCTTGACCTCATCAATGGGCTCTCCTCTCTACCATTCCTATGTGTGTATGTGAGTGTGGTGAAATAACACTTGGATGTTATTATGGTCTTTTCTTCCCTGTGAGCTCAACTTCTTTAAGCTCTTGCTGTTGTGTATGTTCATTGGACACACTGCCATCATGGCATCATCAAAGGCAAATCCTCAGAGCTTGCCCAAGGTTTTTATCCAAGTTATCCTTCTGCACTGAGAATTACCTCAGATCAAAACCTTGGATAGATGCTGTCCAACAGTTGGGATCCCAGGATATGTTGGATTTTCTAATCCAAGGTAGATATGTTGGTGGTGAGGTGATATATGTAGATCTATCCCAGCATGAATTTAGCTCATCCAATTTTCAAACCTCTCACTCGGTGTCAATCTCCTCATGAGCTACCAGAGCAGTACCAAACAGCCGACTTTCAAAGATGTAGTATACCTACATGCATGGATATTAGGCGGGTTCAAGTTGAAAAAAAATGGACCTAAAATGACTTTTAGGCATCACTCGAAAGTCATAAATTATAACTCATGTTTTAGAGCTCGCGAGTAGCTCTAGAGCTACTTGCGAGCTCTAAAATTATAAGTTAATGCCTATAATTTTAGAGAACTTCCTTTTTTTTTGCTCAACGTCTTTTGATCTTGTGAGACCAAAATGCTCAAAAAAAATTGGCAGTTGAAGCCTTGTTCAACCACCTTTTTGAGCGTTTATTGTCCATTTTTTTTCTCTAAACTTCTTCAACCGTCTTGTCAAAAAAAAACAAGCGGTTGTTGTTCATTTTCTCTCTCTTGAAACTGTCTACTTTGTGCTTTATCTCTCTTGTTGAACCCATAACAACAGAGATAAGTGACTTTGGCCCGACAAGTCGGGGTCAAGAAGCCCATCTTATCGCTGTGTCACATTCAGATGTCACAGATGTGGGACACTCTGAGTGACAAACAACTTCAAACAACCTCAAACAAGGCCCACTCGTCCATCCTCATCGTACCTGCGGTGGAACAAGAAGTCAACTCATCCAATCACTCATATCACATTCTTTCGTCAACTCACTGATTCACTGCAAAAGGACTAATTACTGCCGAATGAATGGAAGCTGAAAATCACCAATCGGAGGACTCAAGCGTTGGGGTTCGTTTCATATCAACAACAACAGATCAACAAAGGCCTTTTTAAAATCAAAAGCATATCTTCATTTCAAAAACGATATCCTCTTGCCAACTCACTCAACTTAATCTTCTCCGTACGATTTCGGTGCATCAAAATCAATCTCAGTCATCAAAACTCTTATCAACAACAACAACAACAACAGATCAACCATCCCTTTTTATTCAAATCCTCTCTCGATCAAATCCTCACATCTCATATCATTATCTTCTCTCGATTGAAACCTTTTGTCTGATCTGGTGTGGTATGGTCTCTAGCTTGAATCATTTAGTTCATTATAATAGTTTCATTTCAAGACTCAAATCAACCATCCCTTTTCTATTCAATCCATCTCTCGATCAAATTCTCTCGGCTTTTGAATTCTCAATCTGATTTCTATTCTATTCAATAGTTTTACTTTATCAAACCTCTCGGCTTTTGAATTCTCAATCTGATTTCTATTCTATTCAATAGTTTTACTTTATCAAACCTCTCGGCTTTTCAATTCTCAATCTGATTTCTATTCTATTCAATCCATCTCTCGATCAAATTCTCTCGGCTTTTCAATTCTCAATCTGATTTCTATTCTATTCAATCCATCTCTCGATCAAATTCTCTCGGCTTTTCAATTCTCAATCTGATTTCTTTTCTATTCAATAGTTTTACTTTATCAAACCTCTCGGCTTTTCAATTCTCAATCTGATTTCTATTCTATTCAATAGTTTTACTTTATCAAACCTCTCGGCTTTTCAATTCTCAATCTGATTTCTATTCTATTCAATCCATCTCTCGATCAAATTCTCTCGGCTTTTCAATTCTCAATCCGATTTCTTTTCTATTCAATCCATCTCTCAATCAAATTCTCTCGGCTTTTCAATTCTCAATCCGATTTCTTTTCTATTCAATAGTTTTATTTCAAGATTTCAATCGATTGAACCATCTTGGCTTTTCAATCTTGTCTTTTCATTCATGTTCATCGGCTTCATTTCCATCATGCCACTAAAGAACCAATCCAAATCAATGGACAAGAAACCTTCTGATTCCGGCAAGTTACTGTTCAAGGAAACACCTGACAGCAAAAAGGTACGTTGTCTATCCTTATCCTTCATCTATTTTCATCCTTTTCATTGTTCTCTTTCATTTTCTTCCGCTCTTCATTCAGCCTGCTCGAGTTCGTCGCACCAAGGCTCAGATTGCCGAAGATCTGTATTTAAGTGGTTCCAAGAAGAAAGGGAAGCCCAGCAAGTCCGAAGTCAGACGATCGCTCAAGGCTGCTAGAGAACAAAGAAAGGAATCCGAGATCCCTGAAGAAGTGACTCAACAAACTCCTGCTGCGACATTCAAATTGAAATCACAATCGAAATCACATCCTACTTCCACTTCCACTTCCACTCAAGTAACACCTGCTGCAACCTCAACATCAAAGCAAGTCAACAGTCCTGTATTTGAGAAAGCCGACTACGTTCATATCGTTTCATACTTGTCTCAACCCAAGATCTGCGACATCATCTTTGGTAGTGGCAAGCAGACCAAGGTAACTGGCCTACCGATGAGCCCAACAACTGTTCTCAACACTCTAGCTCAAGAGATCAACCAAGATTACAACAAAAGAAACAAAGTCTTTTCACACTCACAATCACGTCCAAACAAATCGGTCATGCAGCTTACTGGAAAAACTTTGAGGGATTGGTTAGGTAGGTACAAGAGTGCTTATATCAAGGCAAGGAATTGGAGAGATGGGACTGGTGCAGGTACGGATGAAAATGGTGTCCAAAGAGATCTCACATCGATTAACAAGATCTTAGAAGACAAATGTCCGTGTTTTGAGGAAATGGACGCCATCTTCAAAGACAAGCCGAATGTTGTGGCGTTTGGAATCTTGGACTCTGGAGTTGACAATTCCCAACAAGACTTACCAGGCACGTGGATTCTTCAATTAAAATCACCTTCTGAACCTTCTCAACATCCCACTGAGATTACTCATGTATCTGACTCTGACCCTGGTCCTCATCATCCTTCAGGCAACGACAGCGATGGCTTGCCTTCTGACCACTCATCTTCCAACAAATCTGATTCTGATAACGGATTGGCTCACGATGCTCACGATGCTCACGACGATGATGGTTACACTCGTCCAACAACTCAGCAAGAATCGTATTCAGCTTTACAACGGGTCATCAAATCCTTCAAAGAGCAAGAGGAACAAGAGCAATATGATTTTCGCCCCCTTCCACCTCCAATTGAACCTCCTGCCAACTATAAAGCCTTTTCAGTCCCTGCCGAAGATGAAGAAAATGAAGATAGTGATGAGATTGAAGAACATCAAGAGAAAAATGGTGATGATAAAGAGAACGAACCAATGGACATTGACAAGATGGAAGTTGACCGCCTTTTGAATGAAGATGTAGAAGCTAATTTCATACCTAGTGATGTACTCCTCGATAGCGACAACTCGGAAATCGCTCCCCCTCCCAAGAAGAAAGCTCAACCTTCCCAACAAGCATCCCAAAAGAGAACTCGCAAGTCGAATGGTCTCACACCTAGCGAGTTAGCTCTTGATAGCGACAGCTCGGAAATCGCTCCCCCTCCCAAGAAGAAGGCCCCGGCAAAAAGAAGAGCAAACAAGTCGAATGGTCTCACACCTAGCGAGTTAGCTCTCAATAGCGACAGCTCGGAAATCGCTCCCCCTCCCAAGAAGAAGGCCAATGGAAAAGGAAGAGCAACTCTCTCATCTCGCACGATGGATCCCCTACCACCTATTGATCCTTCAACGGTCCGTAGTAAGGAAATGAAGAATCCCATTGCTCTGGCCTTGATGACTGGTAGCCAGGCGAGAACTACGGAGCTCAAAACCAACAACAAGCGACGCCAGGCTGTGGAGGTGTTGAAAAGCAAGGAGGCTAACCGTTGATTGGAATGGGAGAAAGTGACATTCAAGACAAACCGTTTGGATGCAAAAAAACAAGCTGAGAATGAAGCTGCACGTTCAGCATTTGCTTTTGCTCGAGAACTTGCCCTTGGTGGCAAAACTCCCGAGGAGGTCACACAATACCTCGATGCAGTCTTTCCTCCATTAGCACCTGTGTAAGTTTTCATTCTGCTACATCTTGAGCAAGATGGATAGCCTAACTGACTAGCTAATTAAACTTTTGTAGGCAATCAACCTCCAAGTGAAAACTTGTAACTTCCTTCCGACTCATATCTTCATTTCAATTAATCAATTTCAGTTTTTGGTTCAGTTTTGGTTCATCTATTTCAATTCTTTTCATCTCAAGTCAATCAATAACAAACCACAGCGACTTGTATTTTCATCTCAAGCAATATCTCAAGCAACTGGTCTTTTCATCTCAACCGACTTGTCTTTTCATCTCAATTCAATCAACTTATTCATCACATTCAATCTCATTTACAAAACATCGAGTCATTGAGAGAAAATCAACTTGTGTAATTCAAATTTATTATCGAAAAAAGATATCTATTTTGAGTTATCGATAAGTTATCAAGTTCATCCATTCTAAGTTTATATCAAACTTCATCTTATCAATAGAACAGTAACTCATATATCTCGAATTTGTCATCAACAAAAACCATCACCTTATCAAAAATCAACTTATCAACTTCAAGTTTCTCATCAAAAACCCTTATCGTTATAGAAGAGATTGACAAGCGACTTATCTATTTCAAGTTATTTACTTCAAGTTATCTATTTCAAGTTATCTATTTCAAGTTATCTATTTCAAGTTATTTACTTCAAGTTATTTACTTCAAGTTATTTACTTCAAGTTATTTACTTCAAGTTATTTACTTCAAGTTATTTACTTCAAGTTATTTACTTCAAGTTATTTACTTCAAGTTATTTACTTCAAGTTATTTACTTCAAGTTATTTACTTCAAGTTATTTACTTCAAGTTATCTATTTCAAGTTATTTACTTCAAGTTATTTACTTCAAGTTATTTACTTCAAGTTATTTACTTCAAGTTATCTATTTCAAGTTATTTACTTCAAGTTATTTACTTCAAGTTATTTACTTCAAGTTATTTACTTCAAGTTATCTACTTCAAGTTCGAACTTCAACTTCGAACTTCAAGCTCTCAATAAATTCAGGTTATCTACTTCAGGTTATCTACTTCAGGTTATTTCAGGTTATCTACTTGAAGTTCGAACTTCAAGTTCGAACTTCAAGCTCTCAATAAATTCAAGTTATTGATATCTGATTGTTTTCATTTCGTTTCGATCTTATCATTAAAAATCATCAAATCAAAAAAAAATCTCTTTTAAATTGTTGAACTATCAAATCAAAAAAATGTAGTCGTCCTAAATCGTTTAAGTATAAAAAAATGTTGTCTTTTCATTCTGTAAAATGACTGTCTGAATTGCAATCAATGTCACTGTGTACGCTATTTAGTTGAGTACAAAACATGAGAGGAAATGTCTGATAAGTGAGATGACAGTTTGATGAAAAAAACCGCGACAATTCAAACAAAGAGAACATCTAACAAGGATTTTAATCAGGTAGGCAAGGATCTACAATTGGGAGAACACCAGTTTCCCAGTTGAAAGCTACTGCGTGATCTCTGACTTGTTCTCGTTTTAACCTTCCACTTTCCATAGCTTGCGCACCTCGAACATCCCTTTCATTACCTGGCATCCGGATGTTGTCTTCTAAGATTGGTTCTGTAAGGTCGTCCCATGCATTCCCGAGATTAGCAAGCATATTATGAAGAACAGCACAGCATTTGATCCACTTCAGAATATGATCCATATGATTCTTTTCGTGCAATACAAGCCGTAGTCCTTGTAGAGAGGCCCAGCGTCCTTTCAAGATCCCTATACAGTGCTCGTTACGGACACGCGCCTTGGCAACACACCAGTTGAATTCTCGGTTTTGAACAACTTCGGCAGCTGGTCCTTTGTAAGAAGGGACAACTGTGTCTGATGGTATGTATGCTGAATCAGCGACAATGTACTCACCTGAAAAGAAGATACATCAGTCTTGATAGATCAATCAAAGATACAAATAAACACAGCTACTGACCAGGCGAGAAGTATTTGTCTGGATTTCTAGCCATATTGGTCTTAGCATAGACTGTGCTACCACAACAAGATCCAGGCCAGCCGGCATAAAGGTAAGTGATATGTCAATCACAATCACATACTACTTGTGCGTTGATTGAGTAAGAATGTTTTCGATCAAAGAAAACTTCTCCATCTAATCCGGGCCGTTGATACAAAGGGATGGTAGTTCCGTCCACAAAACCAACGCATCCAGGAAACCCGTCTTGTTGCAAGACACTCGAGATAGCCTTCCGACGATCCGCTGGAGGCCAACCAAGATAATGACCACCTCGTTCAAGAATGGCATCGATGACTCGCCGCGTGCACTTGACAACTTGACCACGGCTCACTTTATAATTCCGTGAGAACCGGCCTACACTTGCACCATTTCCGTTACTACCAAGACGCTCCAGAGTAATGGCAAGCTGGTGTTGGACCGGAGGCTGTGGATTATTGCTGACTGAGATAAAGCTTGGATGGTCCTGAATAAGATCTCTCAGGGCTTCGAATCCTTCAGGGGTTGTACGCATCGCTTGTCGAAAGTCCTTGCAACATTCACGGAGCATGTCGGGTAAGTTGAACGGCGAGGCATGAGCGGCTTTGTATCGTGGAACCAGATAGCGTGTTTCGCTAACCCAAGCAAGAATTTCAGCCAGTTCGTTTTCTTCACTGAAAATGACATCATAGAGCTCGGCTTCCGCAGGATCGTCGGGATACAAAAGCTGGCCATCAGTGGGATAGTCTGGCTCTTCGTTGTCGTCGTACATCGCAAAGTCCTGCATGGAATCAAGATGTTTCCAGACACAGGCTAACGTGAGATCTCGGATGATTTGAGCGTGTTCGGACCATCGTGGCATCGTGGAGGTAGGTGGATTGAATCAAAGTATCTTGAAAGAACTGACGCCAACGGACTGTTGTCCAGGCTTGCTTAATTCTTTCTTGAGTTGTCTTTTGACAGAACGGTCAAAGATCTCAAAGATCACCGTTTCTTTTGTTTCCATCGTGTTTCTTTCACAAGGATCATATGTCTTGAATCATTTTCCATTTTTTTTTCAAAGGATCACTTGTCTTGATCCTTCTTTAATCAATTTCAAGGTTCGTACCTTTGTCTCAGAGCACATATTTTTTTTTCTTATACAACACAAAGGCTTATATTTAAACACTTTTTAAGCCTGCTCGTGGTTTTTTAGGCAATTTGGATCTCATGAAACTGTCTTGTAAGTCGTAAAATTTCTGAACAGAAATTTTAACTTGAACCCCGCTATTATGGGGTACTTGGACAGAAACAAGAAGAGATCTATTCATCATGTAACTGTTTCTTTCTATGCTATCTTTTCTTTTCAATCCATTTTAATTTCCAGGTCTATATTGTAAATGAATGAGAACACTGCATGTACCTGATAAATTGGTGCTAAATTGTGAGCACTCTTCTCCATTTCTAAGATATGCAGACCTTTTTGAACTAACCTAAAACACCACAACACCACATAAAGGAAAGAAAACAGAAGCACAAGAGTAAGGAACTGATAGTTGGAGGCCAAGGATAAAATTGTACCTAAAGGTTTGGAGGTGAATAGCAAAGTGAGAAACAAATGTTGAGCTCCAAGGCTTGCGGCTAATGAGTATGCTTGCACTTGGCTCAAGGTTCATCCAATGCTTGACCAACCTTCATACCATCTTTGACTATGATTTTTGGTCTGTTTGAACCCACAAAACCCAGAGAAAGTGACTGATTTTCTCACAGTTATCCTCGATTTTCGTTACCGGGATCGCTTCTGATCGCTATGTCTTGATTCTCGCAACAAAATTCCTGGACAGGTTTCCAGAATCATCCGAGGCCGAGGAGGTTTACCCCCTGGTGTGCACAGAATCCATCTTCTGCCGAGGTTTTGTATAGGCCATGCTTTTTGCATCGGTCCAAAGACATCAGCTTGAGGTCAACTGTCACACAACTCAACATCGGCCCTCCGGTGCCTGAAAGCGATTTGTATTTTGATCATCATGTGAAAATTTCAATCAAGGACTCATCCGAATGATTTAATTTCCTTCATCTTCATATTGACCACTTTTGAATCCTCAATGGGAAAATTCCCAGGCAAATTTTCCAAATCTGCAATCCCAACAGAGAATCACAAAGGGAAAACAATCAATCAATCAAAGTCTGTGTGGTCAATTGAATTTGAATTTATCAAAGATCAAATTATGGCTATGAGTGATGAATTTGCAACCGGGGTTCTTAACTCCAAAGAAATCTGTGGTGAGTATCATGAATGCTACCAAAGGGACCCGGGGTCGACGAGAAAGGACGTCGATATGAGTGCTACTATGTATGTACTCAAGTTTCTACTGTCCATTGGCCAGGTGATTTCTAATTCCAACTCGAATGATCATGATCAAAGTAAATTTTAATCGCTTGGATGAACATGGATGAATGTCAATTCTACTAACAAAATCTAATCCATCTCCTGCAGTCTCCTGCCTTATTCAATTTCGGGGAGACGCGGATTGGGCAGCTCTAAAAGGATTCAGAGAATCCTGATCAGAAACAAACAGAAACAAATAAACTCAGTCTAGGATATCTTGAAAGCAC